TTTTTCTTGCTGTGTTCTGTAACAATTTTTGGTATTTACCCATTGGCACTTGCTCTTACTAAGTACATATTGCTAGACTTGTGTTCACAAGAAACATTGTGGATCATATCTACTCTACAGTAGCCCCAGGTGGATGTTAACATGTAGAGTAGAGTATAAAATTGAAGTGCCTTGCCACATTATCTAACATGAAAAACATGAAATTCAACATTGTTGAATACTATAGAACAAAGTGAATTTTAAGTACTTTCATAAACATACTTTCTTTTCAAGATTTTTTACTCACAAGAAAACTGTGAGTATACATAGAATACCCTGTGGTAATTTTACGAGTGTGAAAACACAAAGCGATTGCCACTTCTCTAGTGAGAGAAAAATCCTAGGACCCACACTGAAGAAATTAAAATCTCATAAGTTGCATTGTCCCACCTAACTTTGTACAACGTGTAGACATTGAAATGCATGAAACCAATTTGGAACCAATTTCTCCAGTAATACAAGATGAAAACATGATACCTTCATGTGAATATAAGATTTAATGTATTCATAGACAACAATAAGAGGGGTTAAATGAGTGAACCCTGTATAACACCATCCTTAGACTAAATAATTGACCAAATCTGAACAATCAGATATTGTGTTTGAGTATCAAATCAAATATTTTAACAATTGGACAGTTTTAGGGCTCCTAGATGAGCAATTCTGACAATGGGTCAAGATTGCAGTAAAAATCCCATTGACGACCATTATAACGTTTCATTTCATAATATATTCATGGACACAGATCTAGCTCAGCGAAACAGTGCCCAGTGTTCATTGGAGTCTTGTCTAGCTTGCCGTTACAAAATAAGCATACGGTGACCACACCGTTTTTGAGATAACTGAATCTGGAGAGAGCTACCACCGTAAAGCTACCTGTTTCAGAAAATTATTCTGCTCTACATAGTCTCAAAAATCACTCCGCCATCTATAAAAATTCTGTTTCTAACCAAATTTGTAAATGTTTCCTGATAGATTAGTACTTACCCTATCGAGAATAAACCTTGATTCATTTATCAAACACTAGATGGCGCTGCGACGGGACAGAAAAGGAGAAAGAGCGTTTTATACAGAAAACCAAATAACCAACGGTAACCGCTAGTATCCCTACTCCGGACTATATTCAATACAGCAAAAATTGTTGCGTGAATGTCAGCCATCTTGGATTTCCAGAATGAGGCTGTCGGCTGATGTCAGTTGATCATTGACTTAGGTCTTGTTGACAATAGTTTAATCTAGCTTTGTGCCAATTTTCATGCTTCTTAGCTCAATATCTCAATTTTTCTTGCAAACACTTTAAATGAAGGAGCGAAAAGTAGGGGGGAAATGCAACAACTTTGTTTGACTCCATTTTGTAGTAACATCTTTCATTTTCAACATATAGACTATATTTTATGTGTCATAATACCTTTTAATTAACCTTCCCAAAAAATATTTAAAAATCGACCCGGAAAAGGCGGCCATGCTTAATTTTCCAGAACGAGGCATATCTCACTTGATTAATGACTCAGGTCTCGCTAACAATGGTATAAACTAACTTTGTGCCAAATTTCATGCTTTTATCACAAAGTGCACAAACATGGCTATTTTAGTCAACATTTACACTAGCTATAGAGACTGGGCGCTTTGAAAGACTACCAGAATAGGAAAATGAAAAGCATTTTATGTTGGATTGTGCTTTTCATAACGACTTAAGGTCAGACTTATTCAGAAAATTTGTATATCAATTGCCTGCATTTCTACATATGGGCAGAGATTTGAATTTTTTAACTTAATGAGCAATATTAGTATTTACCTATATTTACGGCCTGGGGTGTTTTAATTGTATTTTATAAGTCGTATAACCCATGGCACTTTAATAAAATAAATAAATAAAAATGTATTCCAATTTTTATATTATTATGCAATAACGTAAAATTTAAATGTTTACACATCCAGTCAAATGATCGGCACAGTAAGAAAAGCCCATGAAATCTAATACTTTAACCCAAACCTTCAGGTTCGCCTGACACCTTTATGACAACGTTGCACTCCTCTTCCACAGCCGGTATACGTCTTAAGCTTGCCTGTATATTACAATTATGTCATACATTATAGTATTTAATATAACTACGCTGCATTATATGACCCAAGGTCATCAGTCGAATGGTTGTCAATGTGACAACTTCATTCTACAGATTGAAACTGATACTTTAATCTACATCATAATTATAAGAGGCTACAAGTAACAATCATTGTACTCTTGTAAGATATTGTAAAATAGTCAAATAATATTGTGACAATCAAAGAATCTAAATTAAAAAAAAGAATCTAAATTAAAATTACATAATTTGAGAATGAAAAATTATAAAAAAAAACGTGCATCCTTTTTTGAATAGAATAGATTTGAATATAATATAATCTCCAAAATCGTGCTGGTAAAACATTCCTGGGAGTTAGCCCTAAAACCAGTAATGAAGCAGTCCGTGGGGACCTTGGATGGAGTCCACTAATTGATAAACAAAGAGTGGAATGCGCTCGACAATACCTGAGGCTTCATAACATGGACAATAATAGATTGAATCATAAGGTACATATATGGTCATTAAAAAACAAAAGAAGTTGGGACTATCACACTAAAGCTATGCTGACTAAAAATGGCATTTTTATAAATAATAATAGTTCCTTGCATGTAAAATCAACTGTGAAACGTTTACAGGATAGTTTCAATGCAAAAGACCCCTTCTTGAAAAATATTTGGGATGATACAAATAATTTACAGAATGGCAATAAGCTTCGAACATACAGATTGTTTAAATATGGAGTAGTTAATGAACCATATGTATCTGAATACATGCCAAGGCACCACAGAACCATTCTTGCTAGACTGAGAACAGGTAGCCTCCCACTTCACATTGAGACAGGTCGTTGGTCAAACACAGCACTAAATGATCGTACATGTAAATTATGTGATGGTAACTTTGTTGAAGATGAAATTCATTTTGCTGTCCAATGTAAACATTATTCCAACTTGAGAACACATTTTTATAGATCTGTAACTGATATTTTAACACCACATATAAGAACAAACACTGACAATGAGTTACTTTTATTTATAAGCCTAATGCATTCAAGATCAATTCAGAGACAGTGGGCTGCTCTGTTATACAAAATGTTCATGAAAGGCAATTTGACCTGGAACGGTTGACTGCAGTCTAATAATTTGCCATATTATTCCTATGTACCGTATTCATTGCAATGAGGGCCAAACCTCCATACCACCTTGTAGTCAATAATCTAGTCATCATCTTATAAGATAACATGTAAATCATTTATCATCATTTATAGATGGAATTATTGCTATTTATCAATTTATGCATTATTGTACTTGTAGATGAATTGTAGTCTTATTGTTGAATGTCGTATCTTAAACACTGTTTAACTGTTATTATTGATCTTTAAAGTCCAGTGTCTCATAAGCCGACATCGGCTGGTGGTTTTTTTAGAATATGTATTTATTTGTACCAAATGTAAACCAGTGACACTATAATAAACTATTTTAATAATAATAATAAAAAAAATAAATAATAAAAAATATAGTGTCTCACAACAAATGTAGCTGGTTAATTAGTGTTTACACAAATTCACACTGATAGTAGTGATTCATACCCTAATCTTGGCGACACGCTGCCTGCAGGTTGGCTGCTTTCGTTTGCACAGAACTGAGGCAACAAGGCAACTGATGATGAATACTCCAAGAATACAAGAACGAATCGAAAACATTGTAACACGTTCGATTTATATAGATGTGCGAAGTCGGCGAGTCTCTCTTCTTGTCTACTGACAATGCTCTGTAGAAGTTCCGTCGAATATACTGTGAAGTCAATTTCGATGCCGTGAAACACTACATCTTGTCGCCGAAAAAAATAGTTCTGCTTAATTATTTCAAAATTAATTTGCCCATATAGCATTCAATATCTAGTATATAACCACTCGAATTTTATTCTTACGCGTGTAGGTACGCAGAAGCAGGCATCCTTAAAAGTAGTTCCGGATTGATTATAGATAATTCGAATATTATACATGTAGGTATATGCTGTGATCTGTGCTATTAATTTATTGCCTTAATTGATAAATCATGGCACAACAGATTTATATGCTTGTATTAACTAATCTTTTTATTTTAAAACAATAGAACATTCAAGCAGTAACATTAAGAGTATGATTTGTTTACATTCCAAACCATTGCTTACAGCCATGTCTTTGCATGTTCCCCGTGTGCACTTTATTCACCAGTTAAAGACATTCAACCTAAATCCACGTGTTACAACGGAATGGCTTATTTCTGGGGATATCAGCAATTCGTGGTAACAAGTGGCCTTGGATTGAATGTATACCCACAACTAAAATGAAAAACGAAATGTCTCGATATGTTGAGTGTGCTTTTAAAAAGACAAGAGAGTGGGTCTTTTTTTAAATCGCAGTTTCAGTATATGTGCACAACTTTGCTGTAAGTGATCTGCCTCTTTTAGTGGAGTCAGTTATGACAATACAATTCTATAATTGCACTCGCTATATATACGGCACAATTTTTTTTACATACAACTCGCAATGGCAAAGAATGTGTTCGATTGATTCAATTTCATTTACGTTGCAGACATTGCAAAATCGACCATTTTCTTTTGAGCTATCCCACTTTTTGTGACCGTTTAGACCTAATTGACCAGTCATTTACTTCACAACAGTTGTAAAAAAAATTTTCAATCGTGGCATCCGTATGTTCAAGAAAGGTTAGTATTAAACGGAATCTATAAATATAACGATACAATTAGTGTTAAAGATCGCATCAATCTGATCTTAAATTGTACAAACGACGATCTTGCATTGCAACCTATGTCGACCTATGTCGTAATAATTCATTCGATGTACATTAACGCTCACAACTTCGCTCATAAACACGAGCAAATAATTTATCTATTTTCTTATTTATATGTATTTACTCCCAATTAATGTACAAATGTAACTCTCTTATATAAGAGGTAAATAAAGAATACATACAATACAATAGTTTGTGAGGGACTAAATCAAATGCAGAAGTTAAATCTAAACATTTTTGTTATCATCAATGTTTTCATGAATATCATGCACTATGTTAATAAGTTGGTTGACAGTACTATGTTTAGGTAGAATACCACTTTTAATCCTATAAATAAGACTTTGCTGCAGAAGGTGAGTCAAGATTTTTGGTGGATTATAGATTCTAGGATTTTGGAGATTGAGCTTAGCAGGGTCACTGGTCTATAATAAGTAACTAGTTCTCTATCTCCTTTTTTGAAAATTGGGACAATTGTCCCTTCCTTCCAAATATCAGGAAAAGTGTTTTAAATCTCGTAAATAGGTTAATAAACATGTTAACGACGTGCTTCGTCCACGACCTATGGTTTTACTTTGAACAGACAACACACGTGAGCTCTCGTCCCCCGACGTAGTTAGGACAAGGCAGCACTCCACATATTGCCTGGGTCGGGTAGAAAAGAGCACCATTAATACTTTCCTTTCCACCCGGAATTGTTTCCGGCGCTTCGTCCATGCACTCAAAATCTTTACTGCTAGCGTGACCATAATGTTCGGCTGTTAAGTATCCCTTGTACTCCATTGTCCAACCATTCGGACAGGTATGTTTTGCCGGAAACATCACGACATTCCTTGGTACTTGGCATAACGCACATGGAACATCATTGTCGTGGAGAGATTGCTTATCGCCTTGCTTCGGTGCATTCGTACCCAAATAAGGATTACCATCACTAGGTATTTCATACTCTGCCCCATATATATAAGCACCATAACCGCTAGTACTGTCCACAAAATTCCCCCATTCTGGTTCATTCGGAAGACATAGATAATTACCACCACTTCCGGAATGCGTATAGTGTGAACCGGCCGCGACACCTTCAAAGACAAATAAATGTTCACTAAATGTTAAACAATGAACATTTCATTTCGTCTTATTAAAAACTATGCCAATTTTAATCAGCGAATCGTGAAATTATGACTACTGATACACGTTTAGCATATAATGAGCCAAACATACTGTAGTATATACCAACCTGTATAAATGAGAGTTGCTGATGCATTTAGAGGACATTGAGTTCTTCCCCATCTTGTGTAAACGGACCACACTGCCGAGTTTATGTCTACAAGTTAGCGTAAAAGTTTCCTCAAAATTGTTTGTGAGAGATCCGAAAATCATACAAAAGAAAGACATTCAGAAAATACAGAAAATGTGGGGTGTAAAGCGGTTATATGCCACCATTATCAAGACGTCTTAATAAGACTATAACCATGATAGATAATTATTCCTGATGCCATTTTCATAAAACCCCCTTCAAAATCTTGAGTCAAACTCTCACGATGTTTTTTCATATCATCAGCTTATTAAGGGGCAGAACACTGTCAAAACAGTTTGGATTTTGTCTGGCATGAATATATACTGTATGAACAAATGAATCATCATTGGAATGAGAGGACACGTGACAACATTGTAAGCTTAAACTAAATTTAATTCATGTAATTATCACTGGTTTGGGGTTTTACAATGTTTTTGCTTGTTCCTTTTTCTTGGGACGAGCTGTATAACGGAAAACTTAAATTTTGAAACATCGTGCCAAACAATCTTATCTGAGGACCGAGAGTTGTTTGTAGAATGAATCGCTTGTGTTTTTCATGCATTTCGCTTGTGTTTTTCATCTAAAAAACATGAATACACCTTAATTGATTGATTGCACCATATAATCCCAAAAAATAATTCTAATTTTCAAGGATTAACTATGGATTAACACCCAGGTATTTTTATTTTTTAACTTCAGAGGGCTGGGAATCATTGATTACGAATGCTTTTGATTAATATAAATAACGCTGTTTTAAATAGGTTTCTTGTATGCAAATAATTTCTCAAATTGTGTATATGGTACCCATTTCTTAATCCCTAGACTTTTCTCTTTAAGGGATTTCCCATAGTAATCCAATGGTATAGTTCCAAGCAGATTTTGAGAGGATAAGAATACACACCTTCTTCGTTGTTTTGGTTTATATCAAAACCCAATAAGGTGTGTATTTATTTTATTCGAAAGCGTTCGTAATCAATGATTCCCAGCCCTCTGAAGTTTGAAAAATAAAAATACCTGGGTGTTAATCCATAGATAATCCTTGAAAATGAGAAATATTTTTGGGATTACATGGTACAATCTTATAGTCAATGTATAGATAAAAACACAATCGAAATGCATGAAAAAAACTCCCCAGATTCATTCTACAAACCAGCAAGTCGAATAATCTCACCCATACCTTCATGTTCGATTGGCAGCTTTATGTCAACGTTGCATTCTTCTTCCACAGTGGGTATACTCTTTAGAGTTGACTGTATAAAAAGTATAATGTTACATCCTGTGATTTCAATGAATTGATAAAACTCTATTCTAATTAGTAAATAAAGCCTGGACAGAACAATTTTCCAACCTATTTTTTCCTGATAACCATAATGTTATTTAGACATTTCATCAGCTACAGAAGGAGATTAGGACAAGAATTATTAGGAAATATTTTAGGGTCGGGGGTAAGAGCAGACAGACATTAGATTGCACAACATATCTTTACATAATATATTATATGTTATTTAATTATTCCATTTTAACTAATACATTATGTGAAATGACGTGTCGCAAAAAGGTGGCGCATTTGTTTTTTAAGGGTATTGCGTGAATGTAACTTTGATTCCCCGGATTATAAGATAATATTCTAATTGAAGTTATATATCATTTTAAAGCTGTTTTGATGAAGTTTTTAGATCAACTACAATCCGTTCACGATTCTTGCGCGTTCTTTTTTAAAAAAGAGTTTTTTACCAAAACATACTTTAAACGCTCATAACTCAAACAATATATGACTATTATACTTATTTTTCGTCTTGATAAAGGCAGATGGAAGTTTTATTTCAACGGATGAATTTTAGTAAGCATCCCATATTGTGACGTCATAGAGTTTGAAAAATAGAATCTGTTGACAGCGACCTTTATTGCTCATTTTTTGTTACCTTCAACTTTTCAGGTGTACATTTAACAAAAAATACGAGATCAATTTTTAATAAATCATACATGATTATTTTGCTCTTAAACTCTAGTTTATTAATAAATAGTTGATTTTGTTCGCAAAAGTATGTGTTTTCTGTTGTATGTGGAAAAGTGGAGGACGAAAGGTTTTCAAAATTCATTAAAATAGGGCTAATTTACGCCATTCGCCTATTTTCAAGCACAGCAACACGTATATTTATTTCACCTAAAATATCAATTGATTCGTGTTTTATGATGCTCCTATCCCATTGTTAATACATATACGATATCAGAGTTATTCGCCTTAAATATTTTGAGAAATAGAGGCAAATGTGGAGAACGAAATGATTTCCATAGGTGTACATTTTTTCTCAAAAAACGTCACATTCTGTGGTATTAAACAGCGCAAATGTGTAACAATGCGTGCGCGACCTTTTTGCGACACGTCAATAGATGAAATACATGAGTAAAATTTCATGGACGCAAGCTAATATATGAGCTAGCACTCTAACTTCTAGAATTGTTTTCCATATAAAAAACTGCCACTTAACAGAAGATGGCCATCATTTTAAAAATGCTGTAATTATAGTAACTAATCGGCTCACGCTTATGTGAGCTAGGCATTATCATCACATCAATATGATGTATATAGCACTGTCACAATTCACTTAATGTAGCTTGGTTAAAATACGTAAAAGCAATTCATACCTTTATCTTGGCAACACGCTGACTGCAGGTTGGTTGCTTTGGTTTCTTTCGTTTGCCCAGGACTGCGGTAACTAGGCAACCGATGATGAGCACTCCAAAAATACAAGAACGAATTGAAAACATTGTAACTCGTTCGATGTATTTAAATGATGTGCGAAGTCGAAGAAGTTGCAATCGAGTCTCTTCTTATCTTCTGACAATGCTCTGTAGAAATGGTGTTCCAAGTCGGATAGGCTGCTAAGTCCAACTTGTGATGCCGTGAAACATTATCTTGCCGCCGGAGAAAATAGTTCGGCTCTATTATTTCAAACTGATTTGACAACAGAGCATTTTCTGGAACTAGGATTAGATTCCAACGCGTGTAATAATCCAGCATCAGGGCAAGTAGTTCCGGATGAATTATAGATTATTCGATCATTTAAGAAATATGCCACGATAGTTATTGATTTTAACTGATAAATCATAGCACAACTGCTTTAAATGCTCAAATAAACTATTAACCAATTTATTTCAAAACAATAGAATATTCAAACAGTAACATGTTGACGAATGATTTATTTATATTTACATTTCAAATCACTTCTTCTTGCCAGGCCCCTAGCTGCCTCGGTCAATCTTGATGTTACTAATGTGTTAGTGTTTCTCAAATTTGCTACAGGGTATTCAAAAATGGAAACCCTGCATTTTCCTCATACCTTTGTCATTTTATAATATTAATCTTTGATATTTCACACATTGGTACATCATTCACTTTCCTACCAGCCTATTATATTTCATTACCATCAAACTGATACTCACAATTTTACAGCACTTTGAACAACATGCTTCAGGTTTGGGCATTATCCCGCTGTAGTCAAACCTGCACAATTGTCAATGACCAGAATACATTCCTCAGCAGGTATGGCCTGAATAACACGAATGATCTCACTTATTGAGGCCTGCAATTGTCCTGGCGTCATTCTCATACACTCTGTCTTTGCCGTATCCCCAAAGGTACGGACATTTTGGACGATGTGTGCAGGTTTGCTGAAAGCGCAACAGTGGCCACTGAGGCATGTTCTGTCATGAAATATAATAGGGTGGTAGGAAATAGAATGATGTACAAATTTTCACCACTCTGTACTTTTCATCACTTTGAGCAATCAAAAAACGTGGAATAAATCAAAATCTCAAGGAAATATATCAAAACCCAGACATGTGGGCATATGAGGAAATATATAATAGACTATACCAAGGATAAGTCATAAAGCTCAAGTTAATCCTGGTTAATAAACCACTTTTGAAATTTCCCTCTACAGAAAGTAAAATCTTCCAATGCGAAAAGCGACATTGGTACTGCTTTGGTATTGGATTAATCGGCTACTTAGTAATGAACTTATACATAGTTAATTTTACATTGCAGATGTATGGAGATTTGCATTGTTCTAATAGTAATTATGTTATCATAAATGAAAGATATTTCCCCATGCATCGAAGTCAAACTTGATTATAAAGATTTTGTTCGTCTCTGTATAATAGGCCCTGAAGTCGGAAAAAGACATCAGGATGTCAGAAACGTTTTATTCTGCAACCGCATTAACATAAATCAGTCTAGGTGTCTTCTTTGGTCTAACGTTTACTTTTATAAATTATTGTAGTGGGCCTTCGAAGCGTTCACTAATGATAACTGCCGGGATATACCGCCCATTTGACAATTCGCGCGTCCCAGGTCAGGGAAGCAACATCATTCTTACAATTATATAATTTATAAGATTTATATGAATTAATTGTCTGACAATCTGGAAATATAAATCACCCAGGGGAGTAAAATCCATCCCCCTCTAACATCTTCGAAGTTACACAAATGCTTTGTTATCACGCCCAACCATTGAATGGTTCTTGGTTCCGTCGCTACAATTTGGTGATAGAGTTTCATCGTTGATGGTCGCAGGATTTCCATTATGTTCGGAATCGGTATGGTTAGCGGAATGCATTGCAAAATTGTTTTCACAATCGGGGTCTAGGTCTGCTCCATATGCAACAGGGTGTGTCACATTCTCATCCTAAAAAAGTTAATTTAAGGATGTTTCATTCCTTCTACGCATTAAAAACATCTTACTGTTGAACCGAATGTATTAAAATATTTGACATTGTTCATAAAGACTATTCAAGGAGTTTACCCCTAGCTAGACTCAGTACATTGTGAACTGATTATCAAAGGTGTAGTTTGAAACTTTGAACACGTAGCATGGGTTCTAAGTTCTAAATCAGGAATAAATCAAATATTTTCCAAATCGTTTCCTCCATTTTTATGTCTGCTTTTTGGTTTAAAATACAAGAAGTGGGTAAATAGAACAGTCATCTTTACAGTCAATTTGACATTATGAAATTGATGAAGTCTTAAAATGATCTTTGGTGCATTAGACTAGTATTATGCAATCCAATTATATGAAATACTAAGTTCTGATTGGCTGGAACTGAACACTCCTTGCTTTGCAATGTGTTAATCTAAAATCATTTGAAACAGCCTTCACTATACTCTAAGTATACTCTTACGTTTTGTTTTCCTTTTGGCTTTTTAACAACCTTTCCCCATATGCACTCTAGAATAAGGCATATTAAACCAAGAGCGATCCCTGCAACAACGATGATGAATATTCCCAAAACTTTGCTCAGTGTAAGGCCTGTGTTGTCATCCTCTGATCTTTTACATTTATTTTGATCGGGACTGCTCCACCAATGTAACTTCCTCCTTTCTAAGAAACGCTCGTTCTGCAGTTGAAGAATTCTGCAAAATTGAAACACAAAATATTACTAAGTAAGATCTCTGCATTTCTTCATTTATACAAAATCGAGACTGACAAGAAAATAGAGATAATATTACTCCGGATGTTTTGAAACCCATCCCATATAGTGATTAATCGAGAAGACGTGTAAACGGAGTAACAGTTGTTCATAAGAGAAATATCTATATTCCCTACATGTTATTCACGTTTTCCACAAGAGGGGAGTTTTCTTGGAAGGCAAATCCATAAGGTTTCAAGCTGAACTGATCTCCAATCACTTCTAGATCACACTCCTTTTGGGCTAAATACTTTACCATGGGACCCTCATTAAGAAAGGCATAACGTTCCTCTCTTACACGCTTTATGCCCTCAAAGGTTGAGTTAACAAAGCCAGTTTCTCTCATATTGCGCCACATATTTGAGAACTTGTCTCCCAAAGGGTATTCCCAGACTGCATATTTCGACCTCATTTTTTCATCCTCCATCTCGTTTCCAATGCTCAGGTTTTTCCAATGTTCATAAAAGTTTTTCTCAATATCAGCCATGCGGCGAAAGTACGTCTGCATACTTGAATCGGCAAATGTCGAATATCTAATTGTTTTCTGCGCAGCTAAATCTGCGAGGGATTTAATGGGTGTCGTCAAACGGGAGTTGGTCAGAAAAGCAGCCAAATTTGCAGTGTATGCTGACATTAGTATAAAGGAAAAGAACCACAGTCCTCCAACAAGAACCCTGGTTGAGAAAGATCGTGGCATTGGAGCTCCACCTAAACATCCAAAATTGAATATTGTACAAAAGGGGAGCTACTTACGAATGCCATTAATATTTAATTACATTTTGTGACATGTTGAAGGTCAGCTTATATTTTGATATAAATTCCTTCAATGACTACCTTGGTAAAGTCAATGTTTTCAATCACTTGATATAACAGTGAGTTTATACGATTTGGTGAATCCCCAAAACGGACAATGTGGTAGGATATCCCTACCTGATTGGGTAAAAGCCCCCATTGTAAACCACATGCTTTCTTTTGGTGTAAATACTTGGCTTGCATCAAGTTTCTTATCCCTAGTTCTGTTTCTGTAGCTATAAGGACTGTATGTATCAAACAACGTCATAAGGACTCCGGTCACCACTAACGCTCCGCCAATTAATGCCCATACATTACCAGTGAATATTGTAGTGAATTCAAAAGTGTCTGGTTGTACTCTCGACTTCTTCATGAGTATTTGAATGCCGGCGTACTCGTGGTAGGGAGTTGTGAAGTCGACAACAGTCTCACGTTCTGACGTAATCGAGATTGGTCCAACTGCCATGTCTGCGGTCTAAAATTATGAAACCGATGAAGTTAGCTAATCAGAATCCCAAAACAGACAAGGGGCCACTTGACCTAGTGTGCAAGTTCTTTTCGAAGTTTCGTTTTTAAGTTGAGTTGGTCCGAAGTTAATTTCCATGCTGAAAACACAATCTTTAATCCAAGAAAAATGAATGGGAAATTTTCGAAAGTATGAATAAAAGAAGATCATACTTACCTTGTCAGGTTACAAAGTAAAACTGGGTGAAACTCGGATAATGAGGACCGTTGGTTATACTAATTTACACTGTAGCTACTCCCCGTGTCAAATTATAGAATGGTATAGTTTTTTTTATAATGCCCCACCTGTCGGTACGGGACTGAGTTTTCCTATCGCAATGCCGATTTTCTTCCAATATTCAAGAACATAGCAAAAACGCTTGAACCCCAAGTTTATTTTGTTCTAGTTTCGAACTCTTTGGCTATTTCCAGACAAAAATTAAACATAAAACATTAGATATTTTCAAATGGCGAAGGTTGTCAAATAAAGTCGTCGTATGAATGCTTGTGGATCAGTGCAATACATATGCGGTATTATCGACTATTTAACGTATACATAAAAATATTGGGTGAGACTTGAGATAATGTATGCGGCGCCGGTCAAAATTGAAACTTCTGATTGGGTTCGAAGCCGAGATGCCCGGATATGCCCCAGCAAAAGCCGGAATTCACGTGATTTTTCACGAAGAAGGGGCGGAGTTTAAGCGAGATCCATCGAGACTTCTCCATTTAAGGAAAGTGTCAGTCCGCTTATAACTCCGCCTTTTTGCCCTTAAATGGAGAATGCCATTTTCGAAGGGGTCCTTTATAGGTGAGATTTTCATCGGTTTTTTCCTAGATCTTTGACGTTTATGGAGTTATTTCAACCATTCTTTGTCAGTGTACACCTCTCGCCAATATTCATCTTAATAACCTATTGCCGAGTAATTTATTTTTTTGATTTGACAAAAATTCGATCAGAAACTACCTATTACGAAAAACTCCAGAGATATATTTTAGCTAGGCTTGGTCCGAGGGGCCCGTCTTAAGTGCGTGTTGAATTAAATGGAGCCCGGGTGTCGTAGTGATGAGTTTGAATTATGTCGATTATTCGATTGTTATATATAAATAAACATCGATCTTCGGCGAAGATAAAGTAAGAACAACATATATATCCGAGAAACATGTTGGTAAGTACAGTATTTCATTTATAATGGCAGAAAATCAAATTGAATCGAAATCGAATTTTCAACTTTTTCAATTTTTTTTCGTTCGATTATTTTGATTTTCAATTTGATTTTTACATTCTATCTTCTTCGTCCTGCGGGACTATACTAGGCATAGGCCCGGAACATGTATAACATTGAGTCAAATTCACTTATAGAACATGCTGTAAGCTTTATTTCTTTACATTTTTACGGGCCTATGCCTGGGCTATGATTCTAGGCCTAGACTACTAGATCTATAGGACTTAGACTAGCCTAAAGCTAGAGCCTTAGATCTGGCTCTTTCAGAGGCTGTGACTGATCTGTTAGAACGAAAAAAATTAAAAGGTGCTTCTGTGCCGAAAATCAAATTCTCATTATACATTGAGAAGATACTCTTTACCAAGAAACCAAAAATGGAAGTTTCGACGGAAAGACATGACGTTCAAGTCAAAATCTCTGAATCTTGCTAGGTACATGACAGATAAAGAGAATTTAAATCCTGATCGGCAAAGAAGCGGCTAATAACTAATACATATTTTCTCAACAAAAAGCACTGATGTGGCTCACATTGGGAGATAGTAGTAAGCACTTGAAGTTGATTTCAGTAGATCAGTTACATCTGTCATGATTTCAAGGAAAGACACAAAGTATCCATCAAAAGAGAAAAGCTTACATAAATGCGAGCAAAATCTGCAAATTTATTATAGCTATTGACTTCTCGAATATGTTGAACGCACAACTCTAAACAATACTTGAAATAGAATAAAATTGACAAAATATGAGAAGACAGTCTAAAACCTAACTGGGAGAGCTGCCATTGTTTGCCCGGAAATCTTCAGAGATTTTGACTGGTACTTTGTGTCTTTCCATCAAAATTGCCATTTTGGTTTCTCGCTGGGTAATTCACAGATGAAGAGAAATCTTGATTGACAAAAATACAGCTGATAGCTAACAGCTTTTCTTAAACAGAAGATAAAGGAAGATATAAAGGAACCTGTTATGATTTTGAAGCGGGTGATAACCGATAGGGGGCATGTTAAGGCTGTAAGTAGAGGGTGTAGCAATAAATCTAACCCAAATAGAGTTTAACACATCTCAGTATAGGCAAAATTAAAATTCATTAAAGTTTCATCACTTTAGCATGTGTACATTTGCTGGCCTTCTAATATTTTGCCAATAGATTTGTTAGGCTTGATTGCAAATTCTTATGAAATATATGAGTGTATGGTTTCAATGTACTGTACTCCCGATATTTTTCGCGTGCAATTTAGTTTCGTGCTTTTCGCGATTGTGTAAAAATCACGAAAATTAATAGTCGCGAATATCGCCAATTAAAGGCTGAGGTGCAACATGCCATTGACTAAGATCTAGAGATTGTAAATCTTATCCAAAGTATATGATATTGGGTAGATGGCAGTTCTTAAATATATGATAGACACCAATAATTCAACATCATAATTTAACCTTTTCCATTAAATATACCCTGTATCAAGCACAAAAACGTATTTACACCCTTTACTAAAATGGCAACCCCTCTATCACGCACTTGTAGCTTAGAATAAAGAAAGTCGGTTCATGGTATGTGCTTATTCAACCACTAGATGTCACTATGTGCTTTTTCCTGAACTAGTTCTATATAGATCAGACATTTGGGATTTGCTTAAACAACTCACCCTATCGATAAGCTCCCCGATCATACCACTCCAAGTTTCATCTTCCTGTAAATTCCCGAACTTTTTGTCTGCTGGCTCTTTTATTGTGTAGTCGAACTCAGCCCTCTTGGCAATCTCATCCAATAAGTCAATGCAATAGCCGTAGAATGTTGTGCCGTTTTTGAAAACGAATGGCGGTTCCTATTATAAATATGAATAACCAGAATTAAAAGGCGCTAACTGAATTTTACAAATCTTTTGACTCATAGGATCTACTAATATAAAAATGCCTGAATATCTCCAATTCATTCCTGCAAGTTGTTTTACAGCATTTCGTTTGAGAGGTTAGTTTTTTATACGACAACCAAATATGCAAATTAGCAATTGACTGTAAGTTATACATACAGGTACATACACGTGATGCATTTGTCTTACCACAACCGTTCTGATGCTAAGCACTGGCCTCTCGTCACTGCTGAGTTTAAAGTTCTTCAACAACATCGTTCCGTTTGTGTCACTCCATTCGCCAAGCTGGAATATTTTTATTCTATATACTCAACGCTCCATATCAGTGGTGATTGGGTTTAAATTTCAAAACAATGTAATCTGCGACTCGAAGGTATGGGTGCCACAGCAGAAGCAAATGAAACAATTGCACAACTCATAAATAATAAATCAGTGGAAAGATTGATTAAGAGTGATAATTCGCAAGTTTAATGAAGGTTGAAACTGTTATATACTTTTGTGAGGTTTGTAGGGTTGTCTTCAGAAATGTGCATCCTGGCTATATTCAGGACAAGATGGTTGTGTGCCTCAGTACCCGTTTGAAGTAAGTTTTTTAATTCGGCATTGTCCTAGAAACAAAAAGAAGTCAAACATAAGTGACAAATCCAGTTTACTTCACTATGTCTCAATCCATTACTGACAATGGTATCTTTTTATTTTCAAAACAATTATAATTATTTTAAGTAAAAATGATTAATGAGCATTTGTCCCATGAATAAACATTAAAAATAAATAATAACACAGTAAATTTTAAAACCTTTTCAACTGTCGAGTTCCTTGGTTGCACGTCGTTGAACCCAAACTGACCACATTTAGCTGCGAATATTTCATCTTGTAGTGCAGTCAGTGCTTTCCCCTTTGCAGATGACACGACGTGGTTTATTGCTGAACGCATTGCTAGCGTGGGTTCAATCTAAGAATTTTATAAAATAGACCTAATATATAAGCACAAATACCAAAGGGAAGGGTGACTAAAAACTTAAAAAACAACAACAAGAAAAGTAAACTGTAAGTGTAAATCTGTCGTAAGAAAAGTAGACCCTATATATCCTAAAACCATGATCTAACGTGAAAAGAAACAATGTCTAGCATCCCCCTCTCCCATCAAATCGAGAAACAATATCACAATCCAGGACCAGAACACCAAGGGACATTTCATTCATACTGAAGTCATAACAATACATGTCGAAGAAAAATTGAAATTGAAAAAAATTGAAGAAAAATTGAATTGATAGCCAATACTCATAACATCAAAAATAGTTGTAGATACTAGTACTCATAAAAGAGTATCTTGACATTGATATAAGAACATAATATCAATTTTCTTTTTATACAATTGGCCGGTTCTACAAAAAATATCATCACGATTCTAACAATGATTATATGGTATGTTAAGCACAGGTATTTCAAAAACTTAACATAACATGTTGCTGTATGATCACTCGGAGATACACTTTTTAAAAAGAGTTGCATGTATGATTGGCGCCTTTGACAAAGCTTTTATCTCAATTTAGCTTACCGATCCATGCCTGTTAACTCCATGACCTTCCAGCCAGATTGTGTCGTCATGTTTAGTATGTCTATTTAGAAATATCACCGACCCAGAACCGACACAGTTTGAACAGCTTGGTTCAGTAAAGCCCGTAGTGACAGTCAGCCAATGGAAGAATGGCGCCAGGAGTTTGGCGCTTGATGCCTTCAAAAAAAATCATGACTAATGCCTGGGTCACATTTGCCCCGATCCATCGGCCGGCGCCCGGACGATTGAGTGCTTTGCTCAATATTGTATTCAATTTTGAAAAAAATACTCAATCGGCCTAGCGCCGTAGTTAAAATCGCAGCAAATGTGACCAAGGCATAAAATAAAAGGTTGGGGATATCTTTTATACCACGTATTTGTCCTACCAGTTTCAAAATAGTGTCGATGGTGCTTGTTGAGCCGAGCACCACAAATTGCTTCGTTTTTCTTTGTTTCTGGACCTCGGTCATTTGACGTAGCAGCGTCCGCTCGTCGCTACCGGCAGCATTAAACAGGAATAACTCTCTTCTTAGATTTGCCATCATTGATACCAGTTCAGGATAATCTGTTAAACATTATACTTTCAGTCATTATTCATCATAGTTTTTTCTAACACTTAATGTAATCGCAGTCAATTTGAATCTGTTCTTTTTCGACAATTTCAATCCAGCACCAAGAATTCAGACTTACCAAATGTTTCATCGTAAAAAATTGCCATGAGCCCAGAGGATGTATTATCATGCTTCAAAATGTCCTCAATGGCATCGAAGTATAACTTATTGGACGGTCCAATCAAAATAGAGGATTTACACTCGTGATCATTTGTTGCAATGTAAGGTATGTTAAGGTAGTCTGTCCAAAATGGCGCCCTGCAGAATTCCTTATATCCTCGCATAATGAGGTCAATAAAAGCATAGTTTGTATCGTAGCTTTTGCAAACTGAAATTAGGTTCATGTAGCAACATATATTAACCTTTACGTTACATATGCAAAACGATAATTTTGGCTCTGACACACGCATTTCAAAACACTTAACATATTAAAAACATTGACATAAACGAAACATCAAATTTACGTTCAATGTAAAAGTAGTTTCATAGAGCTAGCCTCACCTAACTGAAATATCTCCTTTATAGAATCCATATTTTCATCAGTGATCAGAGTATATGAAATATTGAGGTCTTTGTCGTGACGTTTCACTTCTCTATCAGCTATTACAGACACTGTTTCAAAGCCACTCTTATCTTTGGATATCATATCTAAAAGTGATTCAAATCATTATTTCCATTTATTTGATTAAGAAATACTATAGCAATGTAATTCGAGAAGTCTTTCTGACAGCCCTATCTCGGTGATATGGGTTTTTGAAACTAGTGATTCGGGTTTGTTTGTTTGGATACTTTCTGGTCCCAATGCGTTCCTGGTGTTTGATATTTCTCAAGAAGGCGTCCGACTCCGCAACATTGGGTGACGTCATTGACGAACGCTTCCATATTTACAAAGGGTGTCCCTTTTTGCTCAGTGATCGGTTTGGTTCAGTCTGCCCTACCATGAAATATGCACATTTTTCATCAGTATACTTACATATGTGAATGTTTTGTTTGTTTGTTGATTTTGTCATCGCTGTTGTCAACACACATAGAACGAGCAATGCGCTTAGAAATGCCATCTACAATAACGATAAATGTTGAATTACAGAAACTTAATTAAATTCATTAGAAATATTAGTGATATTGAAAGTATCCCTTTGGGTAATGTTATAAATCTATCCTCCAGAAGATGAAATATACTTTCCTCTAAACTAAATATACCCCTTTACAGATTTAGGTCATACATAAAATCAATATCTTTACAACATATATTGAGTGTGGACATGAGTGTAGCTTTTTAGATTAATGTTGCCATATCCCAAAGGATACATCATGTACCTCATTTTAGCAATAAAGAACATGCAATAGCATATGATATAACCACAAGACCAATTAATTAAATAGCTTAACATTTTCCCTAGGTATCCATTCTTTTTTAAGCTCGTCAACTTTAGATAGATAAGTCATTATGTATCCATTTATAATTGATGACGTCGTCGCTGAAACCGATTTGATTATATACAATGAACATTATCTGACCATCAAGGGCTTTTCATCATTATTTCCCTAAAGAGCTCATTACCTTGCTTGTAGCTCTTAAATAACAATGATGCAGACATGTGCACATTCCTATACATTATATTGTATTTTGACATAATGTATCTACCATTTCATATTGTGTGTTCTTACAAAATATATAGAAAATACATACAATTTCATATTTATTCTTACAATGAATATTTACAACTTAAAATAGTGTATTTACAAGTTCACATTAGAAATTCGTACAATACATATTTACAGTCAATTAATAATTGTAATTAATAATTGATAATTTTGATTATTTGCATCAATACATTCCGACGGTTATTAGTGTTCTATGTATTATCATTATCTCGGCGTCTTCTTTTAAAACATACACACTCAATAGCAACCACGATAGACGCGACAAAAGAGGCAAGTGCAAGCGTAGCGAATGCTCCAGATAGTGTCTGAATGTTTAACGGATCGGGAACTTTTTGTTCTTTATTGTTCGTACATTCATCACGTGACTGCCACCATTTTTGTTTCCATCTTTCCACGAGTCCTGCCTCTTGGAGACGTACTATGCTATAAATAAATAAATTACCCCCACGTCATTTCAAGCTATCGCACTATCATTCCCACTGGTACCTTAAAATAAAAGCGATCCGTCTGATATTCCTAAAATTGCTATATCAGACTCATATGCGTATGATATCATTAGCGATAAATTTCGAGTTAACCTTTTTCTAAAAATATGTCAGACCATTTATTTGTAGATAGTCATATAAAGTATTTCAATTTGATTGCGATTAAGGGAAATCAGACATGGGTTCTCGAGATATCATTTTATTGCTCTAAGTAATCTGAAATTCTGTCTATAACAATACAATACTGTCAATATCAAAAGCATACAAATATTATTAATGTGACTTTAAAATTTCTGAATAAATATCGCTTCAATTTTCAATTCGCTTTATCCATATTAGTATACCATTTATTGTTGAAGAAGGTTTTACAAAGCTAAATTTTCTGCAAAATATGTCTTCAACATACAACGTGCGACTGAATTTAGAAGAGGTGTGTATAAGAGGTAAAATGGTACGTACTTTTTTGAGAAGTCTGAAAGGTATGGTGATTGCTTGGGGAAGACAAATCCATAGCCAGCCGTGTTGAACAATGTATCAGCTAGCGCAAACTCTCTGCACTCAGTGAGGACTTTATACTCTAGCTGTGATTTGTCACCCATAAATGCATAATTTTCATGTAGCACCAGTCTATAGGCATCGGGGTTCTCTGTAATCTTTGGTCCATTTTCCATCATCTTCCAGACTTTGCCATATACTGTATCTTCGGAGGATCCCTGAAAATTTCACTACGGTTGAACAGTCACTTCTTGGTGTGAATTCAATGATGTTACAATGGGGTGTTTGAGAAAAAATAGAATTATTACCTTATCCTCATTATTTTGACAGCAGCAAAGGAATTATTATGTTTAACTGTAACGTAAAAGTCTTTGAACAACATTGCATGATTCTCCTGTTATTTGGTTCATCCAACCATAAGCTTGAAGAAGCACTTATTGAATGCATTCGTGAATGAAATTATCGGAATCTTTAGGCAGATAAAACGATTTATGAAGATGGCCTGTCTGAATTGTTCATTAAAAATTTTTCAAAGATCATATTTTATACATTATGAGCTAGGTATATATTGCAATAACAACCGTGTCATTCCAGGGACTCGGTCTCTTTTTGCGATAAGTTATAACGTTTACCTTGAACAAATCATAGAGATTGGATCCATCTTTGGCTAGTGGGCGAATATCTGACTGGTCAACAAGTTCTTCAAGATTTTTGATGGGGGTGACGATAAGTTGCACTGTCAATAACGCAGCCAAGTTTGCAGTGTATGTGGCTATGATGACAATGGCGAACACCCACCACGCTATCATAACAAGCCTTGAAGACAGCGCTCGTGGGAATACGTCGGTGCCTTGGAAATATGTATGAATCCATTCATATATTGTTTGCATAAGACGTACAGGAGCTAACAATAGCTTAAAAGGAGGATAGGAATACATGCCTTTGGATTTGAAAATGATGGACACTAGCCCCAAATCTACATTTTCAAAATCTGAAGTTTATATCATAACTTATCGTTTCTGAGGAAGAACGACAAAGTCAAGTACTAAAAATAATTTTAATGACAACCTCATAATGGGATTGAATTGAGAAGCCCCCCCCCCCTCTCTCTCATTACAAATTGCCACCGAATATCTCAGAAACAGTATTACAAAAAATAGTATTAATGTTTTATGTACTAAAAACAAATATAGATCTCAAATGAACATGCTGAAATGTAAACGTTTTTGTAAGTAGACCCTACCTTGTTGTAAGCAAGACCCGTACACCAGCCATAGATTCTCTAATAAACTGATCTCATATTTTGATGATCCCGCCAAGCCTCTCCTGTAACCGCTATATGGTGTCGTGAAACTAAAGAAGTAAACCACGAAGCCGATCAGCGCAATGCCCCCAGAAATAAGCAGCCAGACATCTTCTTTAAACGGACGAAATATTTTGAGGACCGAAGGTGTTTTGTCGATTGGTTTCTTTAGGATGATTCCTGCACCATCTTCCATAAATGCCTTGGTGAAGTCTATCACTTCAGCCCTTGCTGATGTTATTGTGAATGGACCCACTGCAAACGCCGCTTCCTAATTGAAAGCCAACAGATGCAATTGTTTCTATTCAAATGACGAAAAAAGTTTTCAAAGATCCATTTCAAAAATAAAAGTATGATCCATCATATGTTATAACTGATGATGATCATAGTTTATAATGCTGGCGTTAATTTATTTTTGAATCTAGCTACAATCTTTTATTATCACCATGGGTATTTATCGCACGTTTCATAAATAGAAACTATATAGCTTACCCCTCTCATCACCATGCCAACCATTCCATTCCATGTTCCATCCGGGTTCTTTCCACCCCACTTCCGGTCAGGTGGCTCGACCAGTTTATAACTAACAATAAACATCAAGCTATATACTACGAGCACGTACCAGGAGATATACTTGGAGAACAAATTTTACGTGGGAGTTAAAATATTAAAAGTCGAAAGAGTCGGAGCCCATTGTAATAAGCTCTGAATAAGAGATATAGAGACATAGATTCGAATGAGTAATATAAGTAGATCAAAATGACCTAAAACAATGATTTTCGGAAAGTTAGTGACATTGCCTTTGGTTAAAAGTTTTAACATGATAAAAATACAATTTGTACTTTCAGTGAATGCTTTTTATCACAAAGCCAGATTTTCATTGACCTTTTACTGATTTGGTAAGATCAAGAATTATGCTCAACTTGAATAGTGTACAGTAGAGATGGATATGAAGCTATTTCTCAAAGAATCAAAATTAAACTATTGGGGAGGGCATATACCGAATTTACATTCGCTAACACAGAACAACGTCATACCTGAATACCACCATTTTTTGAGTTACACATTGAATTCTTGGTAATAATAACGATAATTTAGAATTTATTTATCACTCTTGGATATAGAGCAAAATAACACAGATTTTATTTCAAAACAATTTCCTGTAATACATTTTAATTTAAGATTCCGATATAGCTATATCCGTGTAAAATATCCGTGTAACGAGAGCAGTTAGAATTTGCCAAAATTGTTCATTTTTCAACCTTAAAAAGACGTAAGTGGATATTTCCTTTTTAATTTCAACTTACCGGAAGTTGAGTCTAGAAGCTAATTCATCTAGTATATCAAAACATAATCCTTGGTAACGTGTTTCATTTCCAGCCAATTTAATTGTAAATGGTATAGCCTAAAATATATAATAGTTGAGTCAACGAAACAATTGATTCTATGGTGTAATGTTTTGGTCAACCTCACAAGGTTTGTATTTTCTCCCTTTCCTCTTGTTTACAAATACATGTAACAGTTAAAATGATTGTTTTGTTTAAGTTCTTAGTTTGTGGTTTATTTTGAATATACGATTTTTGGGTTTTATTTGGTGATTTCTTCTTTGGATAAAGGTATATCCCAACACAAAGATATTATCTATATACAGGGTGGGCCAAAAAAAAGTTCACCCTTTTTCATTTTAATCTAATTTTCTTATTTTTGATGCAATGCCTCTAAAAATTGATATGTATATAGCTCAGACATTTCTGTATATGTTGTTAGGATTTGAGTGAAATTTATGCAACAATGTTGTCATGACACCTAAAATATATTTATGGTGTGTCATGAAAAAAAAACAGAAATTCACTTCATTTACAAAATGGCGGATTTCAAAAAAAGGAGGGAAATTTGAAAAGAAGTTATCATGGTAAATATAATTGTTATGTCAGTAAATGCAAAATATTATAAAGTAGAGTGTTAATTAAAAGTCAGAGTTGATGATAAACATCTCTTTAAACAATTAAGTACTCTTATAAACACCCGATACTACCATAGATGAGTTGGTCAACAAGTTACTGAAAATCCATGGTTTTATCCAATTTTCCTCATTTTTACGTTCACAATATTGATAATAATTTGATGGTTTTATGTAATACACTTATGGTATAATTACAAATGAATAAGTTATTAAATTCTACATAATATAATTTGTACAAGATGCCATTTTAATTCTGTTCATGCTTTATAGTGCAGGGAAAAGGGGTACTCCGAGTTGGGAATACTAATACTGGTGATTTTATTCCAAGCTCAGAGTCATTGGGCACCCCTTAAGAGTTGAGTTCAAACTGGGATTAATGAAAATTACTATTTAGAAATGAACTGCAATTCTTTTTCAGTAACTGTCACAGGATATCATGCCTCCTCTATCAGATGAACTAGAAAAACATGTTCATAGTGTTCCCATCCATTCAATTCAAGAACTCCAACAAAGAATAACTTTATGTTGGGAACAATTATCACAACAATCAATTAACGCGGCAATAAATAAATGGCGTCATAGACTAAAACTGGTTGTGCAGGAACAAGGAGGACATATTGAACATTTACTTTAAAAACAAAACAGCCAAAGACACACCTAATATTATATATCGACCTTGTTTAGAAATGTCTCAGTTATCTACATATCAATTTTTTAAGGGATTGCATAAAAAATAAAAAATGAGATTAAAATGAAAAAGGGTGAACTTTTTTTTGGCCCACCCTGTACTGTAATGTGTGAATTCGCTGACCTCTCGAGTGGCGATGGTCAGGGTGACGTTGCCAAAACCTTTCCATGTATTTGGAAATATGTTTTCTTTGGGGACAAATGATATCTCTCTCGACCACGTCGCCACACTTTTGAATCTTGATAATGGTGGACCGTATGCAGTGCAAATATCAACATTTGTATTCCCATGATAGCCATCAACAAAATGTGTTCCGTCTAATAATCCCTTAATGTGAAGCTGAAAATAGAAAATGTGTTTGTAATGCAAATTTAGGGTGCGACGCATTGAAACAATTGTTCAACAAATCATGTTTATAATTCAAATAATAATTAATGACGGCTTAAAAGCTTTCCTCATTTATACTTATCAATAATTCATTACTTCACTGATAATGCCGAACGAAGTTTGAATGAACCATTCATTATAAGAATATGATTCTTCATTCTGTTTTATATATTTCAATTTGATTATTCCCCAATGAACTCCAATGGAATGTATCATAGTCGTAACGACGTAGAAAACTTATGATACCTGCTCAAATGTGCTAAGAAGTGCCAACCCACGCTCTGCTGTATTTGTGTTGTCCAGAATATCCGTTTCATTGGTATGATTTTTTAAAATGCCACGTATGCCTTCAGCGAAAAAACGTATCCCATCGTATACGTATGCCTCCTCTAACTACAATGAAAAAAGTGATAGTATCATAAAATTTTATCCATGTAAGGTATCCAAAAAGAATATCATTGATTATGAAGTAAGTAAAATAAAATATAAAATCACAACTGCAGTAATCAAAATATTATTAGTCTAGCCAGTAAAGTCTAACAAGTATAATAACTTTAAAATGGAAATTACGATAAAGGCAGCAAATAGCTTAATTCTTGCAAGGAACCTTGAATCACTTTTGGTGCGTGTTAAAATTTTAAATTGTTCGGTTCTAGGCAATTTTTAGTGAAACCCACAAAAAGACATAAAAAGATAAATAAACATCTATGTTCAAAGCATAGCTAAAAATCGGCAACTCCACGGAGTAGCAAATCCCAACGAACACAAATCCTACATCAATAAATCCACTTCACTTGTCCCAGAAAAGGTTTGTACGTCTTGCAACAAATAGTGACTATAGAGCACATTCTTCTCCACTTTTTGAAATGTTAAAACTTATTACTATTTTTGACATTAATAAGCAAGCGAAATGTATATTTATGTTCAAATGGAAAAATGACTTAGATAACTATAGGAGTATATACCCTCGTCTCTTTACAACAGTTCATGAAAGAAATCCTTATAACACCAGAAATAGAATGACCTATGATCAACCTAAATTTCGCACAAATTATGGTAAATCATCTGTATCCATTTCAGTACCCCAGCTTTGGAACAAATTACCAGAAAGACTTAAACAAATAAAAAGCCTCTATTCATTTAAAAGAGAACTAAAAAAACTATTTTTGGAAACATACTAACTCAATTGATATTTTGCTGTCTCTTTATCACCCATTGCCCTCACCATGCTTTCTCTCGTGTATGCTCTTTTGGTTTCTTCGAAGAACAAAACTGCTCTCAATATGATTGCTCAGTATATCTGACCCATATGGTAACATTTCAATCACATACAGTTATGCTGTTTTTGTGGTTTTTTTGTTGTTGTTTGTTTTTTACTAAACTGACTTATATTTCCTATAAGCTCTGCTGTACCCCCTGATTTTGCCTCTGTTCCAAATAATGTTCAAACTACATTGTAAGTATATTTGCACTCATTGGTATAATTGTATTCAAGAACACTTTTGACATTATGCCAAAACTTTACCTCATTTGGTCTATTATGATGTGACAAACCAATACTTTCGTTCAAATAGATGAATACATAGGCAGGTCCCCAACTGCATTTAATAGGTATGACAACACACATGTATTATTTTGTCTAATATTGGGAATATACACTTTTTAAAGTGTCACCCAGTTCATATATTGTATTTTGTGTGTATTTCAAATAATAAATAAACATAAACAAAAAAAAAACACTATGACATCTACTCTTCCCTTCAATAAATGCTTGAGATCATTGTGGAATCATAAGTAATCATACGTTAAAGAAATCGCTAAGTAATGGCGAATTCCTGCTCTAGGCAGCCATTTTGAATTTTCCGAGGCACAATTCAGAAAAACAATACCATAGTTGCGATTTACTCTAAAATTCCAACAGTTTGACTATAATATAGCCTTACTTCTAAGAGATCCGAAATCCTATATTAGGCGGCCATTTTCAATCTACTCTTAAGTGCCTTTCATCTGAGTATAATAAAGCTACACTTCAAAAACATCTCAAAATTAATGCAAATTTCACTATATCCCTGCTGAACTTCGTTCGTTGGGATAAAAAGCATGCCTGTGACAAGACTAGAATTCCTTTTTTAATAAAACTAGTGATGGTTTATACTTGTATAATATCGATTTCAGATTTAGTAATTTTAATAACATGCAAGGCTACTTTTTAAATGTTTTTCGTAGCGAATTAATTGATGTCATGCAGGATATGTCTCGTAAATGTGATGCATGGTGACAATCAAATATCTAAAAACATGCCGCCTGAATAAGCTATCAAAAGAAAGTACGTAACCAAGGTAAAGCTATTTGTTTTGCAAGTCACAACATATCTTTACCGTTGATCCTGCGTCCTGATGTAAATTAAGGAAAAAATAGCAAAATGATTTGTCTTGAAAAAGTGAAGTAAAGAACATATTCTTGTGTTTTTATGGCATTAATTGACTTAATTGATAAACTCATTGTAGTTTTAATTGTTTTGTAATAATTATTGCAATGGAGATGGTCATTATTCTTCGAAATGTATTATATGCGATTTCGTGTTTTATCCCATGATTATTGTGCTATAACATCAAATGATATATGTGATATTATTGAGATCCGTGTGATATGTTTCACAAAATCGTTTATCAGTCGTATATCTGTATGATTAACTAATTACTTGTTAATTTGATTTTTTCTAATATAAAGGCAAAATCAAATCTACAATGTACAATTGCAGTGACAATAATTTATTCCTTACAAGCTCAACTACAATATCTGCCAAAACATTCACGATATGTTATGAATTGGTGAAGTTATTATGGATTCAAATTCAAAAAAAGGTGAAAAATGTTTAAATTCTCCCAAATAATAAGAAATGCAACCATTCTTTTAGACAATTAATACATTATTGTAAAAATCCCTAGTTTTCTTGAAATAAAGCGTGCCCTTTGGGGATATTTAGAAAATAGACATGACAAGGAATGACATGAGTCAGATATATTCTAAAATTGAAACTTTTTTTGTTGGCTTGCTTACCAGATCTGATTCTCTGTTTAATAATCATAGGATAGGATTAACCCAATTTCAGATCAGTTCTAGTGATACTAGATTGGAGTATCATTTTATTGCCTCGTAGATATATTTGATATCAAGTCGTCGATGACATCATGACATCATTTAAAATGATCTAATTTTATGTATAATTATATGGATTACATTTTTAATGCCACCATGTAAACTAGTATACTATGCACCTATTGATGGTAGCATGTAATGTGTAAGCAATACAAAAATAATGACAATTAAGTAGCATACAAATTAGTTCAACGTCGTTAAACTCAATAACGGCGTTCTCTACTATTAGGGATTTTCTTGGGGCCGTTATTGAGTTTAACCGCCTTACTATAATTCTTTCCCTTGATGCAAGTTCTGGATCCATCGAAACCATTTTTCCGCGATAACATGCAACTGATACTTGACAATGATATAGAAACACATAACATCAAGCGATTTAACACAATATAATTGTGTTAAACGTTCATTAATACCAGTAAAACGAGGCTACACTTACCAATTTTTAAAATGACATTTCCGCATGTCCGTCATTGTGTCTGTTCGTCCGAGTTTCCCGGATCATAAAATTAAACTATTAGCGAAACGAAATAGTTGTCAAATAGATATATAATTATTATCGCGATTACTCGCGATAAAAAGGTCAATTTTGAGGATAACAGGTACCTTTAATTGATTTATATAGCGTGTGTATACACGCAAAATAGTTATTAATTGCAAACCTACTGTTTGTAGTGCAGTGCCGCGATGACGTTTAATTTATAATACGATTTGCAATTTCGATGTTACCGAAACTGACCGGCATTTTCGTTATATTCCAAACCTGTCTTGAATATTTTCGTAATTATGCATCAATAGGGTCAAAGGGGGATACGGGATGGTGTGTATGTATTCATAAGGTATGTATGCATGCTTGAATCACATTCCTTGTGTAATATTAGCATGTTTTCAGGGTTAATTAGTTCCACTTGTCGAAACCTGCGGAACGATTAAATTAACGCATCAAGGGCAAAATGATCATGGAGGTTAGACCTAGCCGGGGCCATAAAACATGTCAGATAAGAAACGAGGCCCAGGCTAGGTCTAATGTTGTTGGACTACATACAAATGAGAGTTTTTCGAACATGTATTAATTCAAGAGTAATCATTTCAATATTATCATAAAGATTTACAAAATATTGTATTGTAATCACCCTTACCTTTATTTTTATTTTGTTGGTACCAAAAACTGCCACCACTATATCACACATATTCACATCGTTTTCTGTCGTGTACGATTTTTTGATGACAACAAGGTTCGTCAGCTTGTTGAGGATCAGATCGTGTACATCTATATTCCGGAAATCTTCGAAAACTGTTAGCCAAAAGTTGTGCTGGTCCAGACGATTGATCATATTTGCCTATAAAAGAAATACCTAAATGATATACATGTACCAATCATAAGGGAGGTTTACAAATCATTAGAGAGATATTCATGTAAAGACAAATGCAATATTACTTCATAATCATGGTGAAAATGCATGACATCTTTACGGCTCATGCGCGATCAAGATATTTTCAAATGATCGATTCCGTAAATGACATGAAACATTTTAGGAAATTGAATTATGAATTTAGTGATTTATCATACAACAGCATCCGTAAGGGAACTTTATGCAGGGTGTTCAAAAAATGCAATCGAAAGAAATCGCTATATGTTCATCTTTTTAGGAAAGAAAGAATTAAAAGGCTACTGTAGTTAGCTAGTTGAAAAACACAATGCCTTAGACAGCTGCTAAAATATATTCGTACTTCGAAACGTAGTCAAGGTGACTGCATCCGCAATAAAACCAAGTAACTTTCTAACCATAGTGTTTTGGCACTGTTTTATTACAAATTATTTTCATTCAATGCGTGGTAAATCTGTTGAGTTTCATCAGTATCACGCAAGGGACTTTACAGTCATGTTCGAAATGCTCTTAAAAGTCTGCCTGAACCAGGACGTATGGCTGCGTTTTGATTATTTCGTAGATATATGCAAATAGACTTACAATTCGAGGAATTATTGAATGTACACATATTTGTGTAAGCACTTAAGATTAAATGAGTTGATTGTAATTGATAAGTTGTGATATGTTATGAATAATTTATCAGCTCATTTTCATTTAGACGCCAAAATATATCCATATCAGACATTTTATGCTGTAGAGGGCTATTGATATTATGTTTGATACACAAAATTTGCTTTTATGCATGCGTTATTTAAGAAATATAGACCGAAAAGCAGGGGTTATATCGTCAAATACACCCCACAGGGCTAGGCACAAACGTTTTCTGTACGGGGTTCGAAAGCTTTTGTGCCTAGCCTCAAGGGGCGTATTCGACGATATTACCCCTGCTCTGAGGTCTATAATACGATTCGAACATGAAAATTGTTTCGAATATTCATCATGGTCCGCCATTTCTACGACCCACCGTTATGATGAGTTACACAAACTACATTTGCTAGGTACCTCTATTTTGGTTTATAGATTCTTACCAGTTTTAGAACATGCTGGAGATTTTCTTTTGTGCGGCATAGAATGATATGATGGTGAGTTTCAGCTTTTGGGTCACCTAAACCTTTCATAATGGCTACTGCAGTGGTAGTGTCGTGTTTTTTCAACACTTCAATATCAACCAATGTAACGGAAATTGTATTATTTACAGTCAACTTTGTGAAAAGACGAGAAATCATAGTGCGACCTAAAACAGAATGCTATCGTTAAAAAGAAAACATACCAAAAACACGTACGATCTAATTAAGAATACCAGAGGGAACATTTAAATATTTCACTCAATATAAATTGATAATTAAAATTGAGAACCTTTAAAAGTTCGGTTGTTGCATTGATTCATTATTTATAAAAGAAAATGAAAGAATCACGGAAGGTATCGCAACATATTTCAGACAGTCACATGTTTGATTTTGGCTACTTTCTTGGGATTTGAACATGTGCATATAGTAAGCCAATCCATAAACAAGCAGGACAAGCACTTATAGAGATGATAGAATACGTTGAACTTTGAGACAGGGGAGGTGCAACCCCGCCATCATTTTTCCCGGAAATGTTGTCCTGATTCCAAACCCCTTCCACTCATGTTTTTCAGGTTTTTATGCATCAATATGTTGCATTTGGCGACACAGACAACCTCTTAATTAAAAGGAAAATTGGATTCAACCAGAGATTTTAAAGATATCAATTCTGAGTGGCCAAAATTAACTGAAAACCATGGATCGTATGAGTTCCCTATGGTATAATAACATGGGAAATATTGTTTTCCACTTTATCCCAATTGAATCCTATTTTCCTTCTAAGAGGTTGACCATGTCTACAAATGCAACATATTGATGCATAAAATGTCTAAAAAAACAGAAGTGGGAGGGGCTGAAGATCAGGAAACCTTTTTTGAAAAAATATGTCTCGAAGTCCAAAATATTTTATCATCTCTATGAGTACTTTTCCTTTAGATAATACCATTAACCTGGTATATACACCTTTTTAAATCTTCAGAAAATAGCCACAATCCAACAGATGATCACTGTCTAAAATCTGTTGGTCCGTGGTCCTTTGATGCAAACACAATCCTACTTATCGAGCTTATTACTAATTTTGGATTCTATGAAAACAATGGGGATTTGTATCTTCGCGCTGCTCAATAATTAAAGCCCTTCTCACTTTTAGGATAGTGATCATTGACAACTATTTGATAAGATACGAAATGCGTCTTGACCAATGATCTTATGTCCAAATTCAAATAATATATTGTGCACTGTATAGTATCCTAAGTCACGTAATAAATTGAACAAGATCCCAAAAGCGCCATTATTTGCTGATTACCTTGAATAACCGACTTTGATGCATCTACCGTAGCACAGTATATAGATACATTGAAGTCCTAATAATCCCTTTTTCTAATCAATTATTTATTTACAATTAATTGCTTGTCATTGAAAAAGAATACATATCGGAGTGGTCTCAATGCCCATAGGTTTGATTAATCAGATGGTTCAACAAAAACCTGCTTGGATACCTCTATCGGAACCTGACATTGGGGCATTGTGGATAACAACAGCGAGTAAAGATAATAATTTTAGCATCTTTCTTCTTGTGAAACCATATACCATATACCATATAGATCTATATTTTGTCAAACTAGGACAAATATGAGCGAAAAACGATGACGATTTACATTTTATTCTGTTTAACATTACCATATGATTTATCGTAGAATATAACAACGTTGTTCCATTCCTCTGCGAATGTTATGTCAACAATGGCGTCTTCAATATAACTGCTGTGAGGGCGTAAACTTATAGTGAAATCACTTCCTTCTTTGATGCGACAGTCACCATTGTGCATTGCAATGTGTGGTATAGAATTCATCCCACAAATCTCGCTGATCACGTCTGTGTTATCACAAGAGAGGTAGCTCAATATGCCAACAACTCCAGACCCGACCATTTCTTCTCCTAGAAATACCAACGTTTATTGTAACTGACCATAATATGTGACTTGGTCTTGATTTATAAAGTAAGTCATTCCAAAAGAAATCACATTTATTTATGTGGCAACAATACTAGAGAGTGAACATTTAAATATTCTATATCTTCGATGATCTTGTCAATTTTTTCCTCTCTGAAATAAGATATATTTTCCCTTTCCCTTTTTGAAACTTAAAATGCAGATGAGTCAAAACTACAGAACTGCAAAGTCAGAATTTGGCCTTTTACCCTACTATCACACCAAACTAGTTCTCACTACGTTCTCGAAAACGGGCTTCTACTGTGTACGAACGGACTGGACGTACTTAGAATCGTTTGGGGTCTATTTACAAACTTCATCGAACGTACGTACTCGAACGGGTACTGTAGGTCCTCTAGAACTTAGAACATGCTCACAATGTTCTCTTGGTCGTCAAGTTCTACAATTAGAAGGGGTGACAACCTACTAACGACGAGCTGGACGTACTACGAACGGAACCGTCGTACTTCAATCCTACTAGAGATGTTATAACAACGAGTTGAACTGTCTGAGGACGTATTGAGAACGAGGTAGAACTAATTACAAACGGGTTTAAACTGATTATGAACGTATATTTAAGACTGCTTATGAACGAGTTAGCAAAAATATAGCTATCACACCAAACAAGATGTCACTGTGTTCTTCAAAACTGGTTTTAAACTGTGTGCGAACGGAATGAACGTAGCTGCAACTTTCTAAGGTCTATTTACGAACTTCATGATCGTTCTCAGACGGGAAGGTGATTTTAGAATTTTGAAATGATTCAAAATTCGATGGCGACCATACCGTTCTGTAATTAGATCGTGTGACAACGTACTTCAAACGAGATGACCTACTAGACTAGGAACGTAATTGGCGTACTTCGACCCTACTAGGGACGAGTTAACGACGTTGTGCAATTGGATATCAATTTGTAGTGCGTGTGCATACCAACATGGTGCGACCTGAACGAACTAGGAATGAGATGGACGTATTGAAGAATATTTATGAACGAAGTGGCTAATTATTTTTGACATGTTTCACGACCACAGCCAGACTTAGCCTGTTTTACGGATTTTTCGTTGGACTGGAAAGAACCGTTGAGAACTAGTTTGGTGTGATTGGGGCCATAATGCATGATTTGATGTTTGGAGTTCGGAATTTTCAAGATATATATTTTAAGACTGCACATTGCAGTTAACCCCCCTATCACACCAAACTAGTTCTTACCCGTTCTTGCCAGTCCTACGAAAACGTCGTAAAACGGACTCAATCTGGCTGTGGTCGGGAAATATGTCTGAAATAATTAGCTTCTTCGTTCTTAAACAGTCTTCAATACGTCCATCTCGTTCGCAGTTCGTTCAGGTCGCACCACGTCGGTGTGCAACGTCGTAGAACGCGTCCCTTAGTCTAGAAGGTCAACATGACCTGATTACAGAACGGTATGGTCGCCACCGAATTTTGAATCGATTCAAAATTCTAAAATCACATTCCCGTCTGAGAACGTTCATAGAGTTCGTAAATAGACCTTAGAAAGTTGCAGCTACGTCCATTCCGTTCGCACACAGTTTATAACCAGTTTTGAAGAACGCAGTGGCAACTTGTTCGGTGTGATAGCTATATTTTTGCTAACTCGTTCATAAGCAGTCTTAAATACGTTCTTTATCAGTTTAAACCCGTTTGCAATTAGTTCTACCTCGTTCTCAACACGTCCTCGGACAATTCAACTCGTTGTTAAAACGTCCCTAGTAGGATTGAAGTACGACGGTTCCGTTCTAAGTACGTCCAGCTCGTCGTTAGTACGTTGTCACTCGTTCTAATTGTAGAACGTGACGACCACGAGAACATTTTGAGCATTGTCTAAGTTCTAGATGACCTACCCGTTCGAGTACGTTCGATGAAGTTTGTAAATAGATCCCAAACGGTTCTTAGTAGGTCCAGTCCGTTCGTACACAGTTGAAGCCCGTTTTTGAGAACGTAGTGAGAACTAGTTTGGTGTGCGTGATAGTAGGGTTATCGCCGAAGTACTATACATGGGACACCAAGTATGACAAACGACATATTGCACGTTGACTCATATTTAAGAATTATTCAGAAGTAGTGATAGAACTCTATTTGTGTTACTCTATATAAATTATGCCGATTCCTGCTATATGTATATAAACTAATATATTTCTGATATAAATAAATAGTTCATTATAAATAGGGATATGGTTGTCCAAATATCATTTTGTCTGGTTCATTCATTCATTCCTGAGGTGTTTTCATTTGAAATTAAATTTCAGATTATTGAATAATCTCTGAGCAATCTTACAACATATCTTGGTTTGGTTTTTGGTTTGTAGATGATATAATTCCATTGTATTATTGTCACTAAACAGAATGCTGATATTGTTTAATTACTGTGTGTTACATGTACCAGTAATACTTGGGTCCAAATACGACCCCGGTGTAATGAGCAAGATATCACTCCCAAAGGCATTACTATAACAAGGGCTGTATGTGTAGGGGTAATTTCACCAGACGAATCTGGTTCTGCCCTACGCTTAATGCAATGGCTCAATTTCAGGAACTTTCCTTAGAACTTTGCAGTATTTTGAAAATAATTTATTGACCTCATCTGTCAAGTTTGGAACATATTACCTATTTCAATGGTATCTGGTCACCATGTTCATACCTATATATGTAAACATGTCTCAGAATTATTCCCGGTGTGAAAGAGAATATAGTTCCGAGGTATTATTCCCAGGTTTGAATTGATTCTTGCCTAATGCACCAAATCAAGTAAACAAGCAGATATATTGATACACCGGGACAGAAAATATACTTAATGCAACACCAAAATGAAATTTGATATCAGTATATATCCATGTCCAACCCAAAACAAAGACCTGATAGTACATATCTCATCCGTTACAATTAGGGGAACTAAAGACTGCAATTAATAGCATTACAGAAGACGATTATAGAAAATCTTTAAAGTCCCCGTCTAAAGTTTGAAAATATTTTTTTATCATTTATTTACTATTTGTCAGGACTTAAAAAGTGATTTTAGAGATTTTTGAACAAAAAAATTTTTTTTGAAAAAAAGTTGTGAGCATTTCATTTCTCAAATATTCAAATTTCCCGCCATTTTTCAAAAAAAAATGAAATTTCTTAATCATCAAATATTTCTTAATGCATTTCAAAAAAGATTATCTTTTTAACACCAATGCAAAGATTGAACAAAAGCCACACTATTTCAATAATAAAATGTCATATTTAATGGGCCACTACAATGTTTTAGCTTATCAAAAATATTTTGAAACATTAGTGATGTCACTAAGGTAACAAAAACTTTTTGAAAAAAGTTGAATTTTTTTTTCGATGTCAATCTTTTGTAAATATGCTAGACTTTCATAAAAAACCAATGTTGATTGTCTAACCAGGTTAAAAGGAAGAATAAATTATGTTTTAGATATCATTGTACCATTGGTTTCTATGAGAACTAAAATTTTGAAATGCATTTTTCTCAGAACCATTTTCATGCACTAATAAGTTCATTTCTCGCTTGTTTATCAACCGATTTCCTTAATTTTTTCGGCAAAAAACATGGGAGGATGAATGCTATGCATTGGTATGAATTGTGGCTTATTAGAATATATGAGTGACCTCTAAAAGTTTGTTTTAAATAAATTCACAAATTTTGGAACAAAAAGTCTATCAAAAACCACTTTTTGAAAATTAAAAAAAAGTTTCACATATCACACTTTGATAACATTGGGTAAGACTACAATATAAGCCAAAGTGGTTTAAACTTTACATGGGGCCTTTAAATTATGTAGAATTATTCGTACCTTTTTAAACAACAATATATCGCTGAAAGGCTAAAATAAATACATCTCTAAGGGTGTCAGCTCTGATACTTAAAACTTTATGGTCCAAATAAGTAAATTAATAAATAGAGTAGATGTACCTATCTTCACATCGTTATATTTGTCTGTTTCATTGAGTTTCCTAATCATGAGTTCCAAAGTGACGTTTTGGGGCAACCATCGATATCTGTTAATAAATTCGGTTGTATTCACTGCTACACCTTCTATTCTTGTACCAACCATCCCACTGTCAAGAAGCAATCCTGCAAAATGAAGAAACAAAGGTTCACTGACAAATGAGAGAGGACGCGTCTGATTGGGAGAATATTAAAAGTTTTAAATAACTTCTAAACAAAACTTTGAATCAATGTTTGTTAAACATGCTTCTAATTCGTCATTATAGAAGTTAATAGGGAAGTTAAGTTGGCACTGTTTTGAAGAACGTATACGCGAAACGTGTAAAATTATTGTCCTCTACTGACTATTTTCACTTCATTGGCATTTATTTGCCCGATGGAGCATGAAAGTGTGAAAGAAAAAATATACATAATTATATATGTGATCGTACATCATGAAACATTCCGAGTCACAGCAGAAAATCTTAATAAAAATCATTAATATGGAATAGTAATCGTATTAACTTACCCAATCTCGTTATAGTTGATCCAACGTGTCGTATCAATGATAATGTGAGAAATAAAACACATCCGAAACGCAGAGCAAATTGCATCGTCTGAAAGAAACAAACAATGATATTATTATTATTATTTTATATTATCATTTTTCACACATAATTTTCTCATTGTTTGTTCCTTGTCAAGTAAACGTGCTTTTGCTAAATGTAGATCTACTGACCTACAACCTCATTTAACCATTAGAGGGTTAGACATTACTTCGAATTCCCTGTACAAAGGAGTTGGGGATACTGGGGTCTGTTTCCTTATGACTCCGAGTTGCTAGTTGTTTCTATTTTATCGAGTCGGGATTACTCCACAGATGTCGCTGTTGAAAAGGTAGAAGACAAAAATCTATGTTTAAAATCGGGATAATGGTTGATGAAAATTTATTTTGTTTATTATATAATATCATAAAAAGTATTACGAAATTGTTTGGTTCACTACAAACATTTGACTTTTTGTGACGGTGGTCTTGAGTTTGAAATCTGTTGAAAAGTGTTGAAAATTCGGATAGGCGAAAAAAGCGGCCAGATCTTTTGATTTTGGTGGCTCTTTTTCTAGAGACATTTCGACTTCAAAAGGGGTCATATGGAGCTATAACGTGGTATATGTGGTTCAGTAACTGAAATCTTCGTTTTTTCATAATTGATCCGAAGATTTGCATGTTTTTCAATTGAATTGTATGGGACCATTTAATAGTGGAGTTATTCCGTTGTGTTTCAATATTCTTAGCTCAATTCCATTTTGCCGTGATTGGATGTCTCCTTCTGTGCATGTATCATATGTCTCTCTCTGTTACATCAACGATGCCCAGATGTCAAATGAATGCAGAGCTTATGAACGATCACGACCTCGTGGTTACGGCGGTTAGCGTGTTCTGTTGGCTGGTAATGCATAAAAATAACATCTGGTCACTTATTAAAACACATTTTCGCAGTTTGAAAACAGTTTTAGAAATACTCTTTAAAAATGTCTGAGAGACTGGAAGAAGAAATACAAGAAGCCGAGTTGAGTTGACAACGGTAATATTTGACAATGGTATATGTAAAGACAACGGTAAATTGTCTACCGTTGTCATTTTTCTATGCTACATTGCAATACATCCATCATAGTCTGTTGTCACAGCTAACCATATGTCGTTGTCTTTGTTAATTATTTCAAATTCAGATTCAGTAGTCATTGACGAAATCGAAGACGCTATATTTTGGCGATTCACGACCCCATTTGAGAGAAAATTGAATTTCATATAATACATCATCACACGAGCTTAACACATGCACAGAATAAGCGCCGATAAAGTCCCATGAAACGAGGACCAAGTGATTAAAGAGTTGAAGCGACGGTTACGTTCGCCATTTGTGACAACGGTATCTGACTTAACCGTTGTCAGGCTATTCCGGTGTGTATATATCAATGGGTCTTTTTATGTCCTCTTACGGATCCCTGTTCATACTTGTCTATCTACTCAAAATACTTAGTATGAGACTATTTCTAGTATTGATTAGATATAGTATTGCCACTTGGAAGCTCGTACAAGAATCTTTCCGAAATACACTCAATGCCAATTACAACATTGCATTGACAATACAGAAATAATTCGATCTAAGCAGTATTTACTAGACCTGTCTAATGCATTAATGTGCATTCGGCTAAATCAGAATAGTCTTGCAGAACTATCATGTAATACAGAGTACAATGGAAGTTCAACAAACATGATAATCAAACTCAAAATGACTAACATTGAGAGTTTCTAGAGGGAAACATTTCAAAGATATGAAGGATCGATAAAGTTATGTTACCGATGATAATTAACTGTGAATTGAACAAGTTTTATTTCATTTAGAAAAGTAAATATTTACAATTACATTTGCTCACATTTTTCTTTACAAATAAAAAAATGATTTGGAGCGGGGGATCGATGTTGCTAAGTATAAAATACATATCTCAAAGGGGCAATTAGTACACGTACATGTAAGTGATATCATATATGATTTTAATCGATAAGACCTCTCTAAGAATATAAGTTATTCAATAATTCGAGTGAAATACAGAAAATATTCTACCCAAGAAGGTCTGTATTTCACGAGGCGCTTGCGCACAATTCCTTGTCCTGACCCCGTGGGCCTGACCAAAGAAAATTCAGACAGATCAACCTTACTCACCTCATAGATTATTGCTCGATATATTTCCTCTTGTTATTTGCTTTTCTTGTATTATACAGTACGTTTAATCTTATGTCATTTCTCTTCAATTTCATCAGCTGAAAGTGCAGTGTTGCGAAAAGTTTTTTCGACTTTCGTCTGCCATATTGGATTTTTTACTAGTTCATGAAAACAATCTGCATGATTCAAATTGTTTTCTTATGTTTACAGATGGGGGTTTTTATCCTCAAATTATAAATTGTGATGTTCACAGTATCATTTCCTGATATTTAAAAAAGACATTTATAGTAAAATGCAAAAATTAGCACGCGACAGCTTAAACTAATCGCCATCGAATTTTTCAGTAACAGTCATATCCTGGATGGAAATCTGGGGCGTTGAAATACTGAACCGTATCCCAACGGTGACGTCATTTAAGTTGAGAGTGCGTGAAGAGGAGGGAGAGCCCCCGAGTTTAAAGATGACAGACATAATTACTAGATAGTACGTCACTTGCTTACCCCCTTCGTTCGTTCGAATTTTCATCGGCTAGTTATCAAATCATACTACACTTCGATGGGGTGATTTAATTGATATAGACATATTCCGTATACCTTTCTTTATCTTGATGTGAAATGAGAAGCTATGCTATTGGTTAACACGCCAGGAATGAACATAATATTATTCGAAGCGTATTTCGAATTTTGAACCGCCATTGATGACGTCATTTGTTTGTAGACTTTTGACTAATCAGCGACTATGTCATCTCAATATACAGATTTACATTATAAGCGTATATGTCATCTTCGAACCCTGGTGTTTCTCCCCCTCTGGAGTGTGTGTAAATACAGAATATATTTAAGTCACATGGAACAATCAGATTTCAGGGAACTTCACCATCATGGAATAAGAGATTATATATTTTATCGCCTAAAAAGAAGATCCGTGACATTTTACAACTGATGACGTCATAGACTGTTTTAGTTCAGAAATAAACTGACATTAAAATCAAATGTATTTGATCAACGGGATGATGCCTCTAAAATCAATAGAAGTTTTTTCCCATGAAAGTACATTATTAGATATCACTACATACTGTTCTTGTTACTTTGAACGATATCATACTATTGCAAGTGCAACAACCAATAATCGAAAAATAACAGCTTTGATACCAAGTTAATGTTTATCGATATATTCGTCGTCAGGCAAGAAGTAGGGGAGCCAAATGCCTCGTCCAAATTGTACAGTGATATCGGGTTAGACGCTTTTTAACTGTGTAAGCTAAAGAACTACAGTATAGAAGTACATGTACTGTTAAGAAGTAAGATAGTATAGAAATAAACTGGTCCCGAAAAGCAAATTGGCCCAAAAAATCTGAGCCCTAACATTTTGACGGGGCTCAATAAGTGGGCCTTTTTGTGCGTTACTTGGCCTTTTGTGCCTTTTAGGCCAAATTATAAAAAATTGGCCTTAAATTTTCGAAATGCCGATCCAATTGTGGGATTTAGCGACCCAAAAAATTTACCCCGCAAGTGAAGATCTTTTTTATTTGATCCGCCAGTGTAATATATCTAATTTCGTAAACCCTCTTTACGTGCCACTTTGATCGACTTCTAGATGTTCGTCTGAACAAGAGAATGATTGCTTAATGTTAGCAAATAGAGCAGTCATAAATACTATAATTTCATATTTATATTTGTTAAACATGCAGTCATCATAATCCATCTAGTAAACTAGAGACTAGATTGTGTCCGTTATTACATTGTGGAAATTAAAAAAAATGTGCCAAAGCTTACTTTTGAATTAATTTTTAGTTTTAATATAAGTTTCTTTAATTAAATAAACTCGCTGATACATTAATGATTCGATATCATTTTATATTCAAAAATCTGGTAACCTCGAATCGATTAATTAACATTTGCACATACCTTTTCAATGTCTGGCGTCCGTTTCCTGAGAATGCTATTGCTGCATTTAGCAACTTAACTCAGGTAGTGCAATATCCAGGAATGATAATTGCACACGCGATTGCTTAATCTATCGTGTTAATTCTGTCGACTTCTAACCATATATTTCAATAATTACTTCTAATAATTACTATAACTACGGAAAGCGAAACGGGACCCGCATAATATTAAAATCAAATGGAGTTTTTTCATTGAAGTGATAACTCGCACTACGAGTTCGATATATACAGCTTCAAGAAAAAAATAAACAAACTACCTTGTTAAACCGCTGTATGTGATCAATGCGGATACTCAGTTAAATTGACATTCCTTGGTTACATTTGCTCTACGATGGCCGTAAGTCGACCGTAGTTCCCTGAAATCGGTAAGTTACAACATCAATCGTAGAGCATCTACGGCAAATTTACGGTATTTGTACGGCGTATACAGCTTTTACAGCTTTTACACCGTAGAAGTAACAAGCCGTACGATGTGGGGAAACCCCCAGTGCTCATGAGATGGCAGACACAATTACGTCTCTAGCTTGCAACCCTAGTTTTTCAAATTTACACTAGCTAGTTTCAGAATACCTCTCGTCGTTGTGGTGTGTTAATCGATGTTAAGATATTCCTTACACATTTCTTTATCTCGATTTGAAATAATGAGCTATAGATGTTATTTAACACATCAGATTTACATTAAAGACGTATGTAATCGTATGGGTTTCCCCCTCATAGCCGTACGTCAAGAGTACGATGGACATACTGGCTGTCCTGGGCTTAAATGGGTTGCAATTGACCTTTTTAATTTGTGAGAATCGCCGTAGGGACGCCCTATAATGATCTTGCTTCATCATCTAAAGGGCAATGCGGAAACCGTAGTTTTTCTGCCTCTACAAAATCAAAATAAGCCGTACGGCTTCCTTAACAAATGTGACTGCTAAAACATATGGACGTAGAATATCCAATAATAGACCTACGGTCGGAGTTGCAAACGGACTGAGGTTTTAATAAGACTAGTTCACTTTGTAAATATAAATGACTACCAAGCGTGGAAAAATTAGGTTCAATACTGGCATTACGAAATTACTTACCAAATTATCATATTATCTATATTTGGTCAAATCCCTTTTAGATCATATCCATTTTGGGGCTCGCTTTGCTCGCAGTGATGCATCGGACCCCTTGGTAATTGCTGGCTACGCGATTTTTGAAAACTGACGGAGAATAACTTTTGTAAAAAAAAATACATTAACATCACTCATGTTGATAGTAATCTAGACTAACTTAATCTTATTTATTGAAGAGTCTATTCATTTGGTGATTATGAAGGAACATTTTGAAAACCACACAATGTGAGGATCATATTTCCCCGAGTGTGGCAGTAGTTAAAGACGGCAGATTAAAAAAAACCTGGGTCGGAGCTTAGACATGGCAAAGTTGTTTAATGTTTAAATAGGCAGACACTATGAACCAGGAAAACTGTTCTCCTATTATGTTTACAAATTTCAAGAACAAGAAAACAAGATGGCCGCCCAAAAGTTAATCAGCTCTAGTACTTGATATCCTCTATCATTTGTGTAAATTTGAAGGAAATCCGATGAGCGGATTTTCTGAAATGGCGTTTTCGAAAAATCTTCAAAATGGCCGCCAGAAAACAAGATGGCCACCCAAAAGTTAATCAGCTCTAGTACTTCATATGCTCCATCATCTCTGCGAATTTGGAGATAATCTGAACAGCAGTTTTCCTTAAACGGCGATGACAAAAAGCGGGACGATCACGACCACGATCACGACCACGATCACGACCACGATCACGACCACGATCACGACCACGACCACGACCACGACCAGTATGACGACTATATCCCACCGATGGTGTGATAAAAAAAAGATGTATGAATGACTGATGAAATAAAAAGTAATTGATCGAATAGTCAAGATACATGTTTCAATTGCATTAACACTGAAAAATAGACATACATTTTAATCTAAGAATATCTGTCAAAGGAGACATACAATTATGGAAGTTGTATGTCACAATTTACTTAAGTAGAACTCGGCGGGATATTTACAAAATGGTAATGACGAGGCATATTGTGAACACAATTGTGGCACTTTGAAAACTTTAAACTCAGTTGGTCTATGCACTGTTTGCTTCCTGCGCTCGGTCTTTGCAGTTTGTTGAGTCCAAATCCAACATCGAGGGTGAACATGAACTGTAGATGTTAAATGACCTTTGACATCTTTCAAATAACCTCAAAAAGAGGACGCTAGGTTGAAGAGAATAACGAATAGATACATTTTACATGTATTTCGACAAGGTTAATAATGTGTCAACATGGTTTATTGTTCTATTCATAACAATAGAAGGCTAAAAACCATTCGGCAGAGGTGGTCTTTCGATTGAGTCGCCAGTTTCTTGTAGATTTATGACGTCCTGTTCAGGCCAATAAAATCGACACATGATAATCTGAAAAATATTTCAAAAATAAGTAATTACTCTAATTGTATATCAATACGTTTATAAAAATATATTTCAATTAAAATACCGTTACATTTTGAATAATGTTTTGTTTATGTTTTGCAGATTGAATGTGAGTTTTCAGTTTATTTCATATTTTATGACTTTTATTATTCAGGAATCTCGAAATATTCTGTATAACAAATCCACGAAACAAATAATCAAAAGTGAATCATGGATAACATTAAGCAGCTTTAAACGTATTCCATCGTTTCTTTCATTATTGGCCATTTTAACATGTATTTATTTTCTGCTCTTGGATTTACTGTTAAGCAGCGCATAACCTTGGTGACATCTATACCTATTCAGGTGGATAAGCTTATCAGTATATTGAGTGATTTTGGAAGGGATGACACAGTGTTGTGTTCATATTGGAACAGTGATGAATTAGGGGGATTAAAGGAATTAAGTTTTGAAACATTTCTTTCCCTCGCTCCCACCCTTGAAACTTTTGGTGTGTGTAGATGGCTATCCCGTGGGCCTTCACGACCAGAAATCTCTTGCCCAATCCGTAAAGTGAAGCAACTCTTGATAGTATGGTGTCACCTAGGGACATGTACCACTCAAGATCACCATGGTATGATAACAATCGTTTTTGTATTTACCCTATCCATGCTGCCAATTAAGTCTTCGCCATATGTCAGTCTGTGTTTAGTTTGTTTGACGATGTTTGGGCCTCTTAGTTCATCATCGTCATCTGGAACATCGGTTTAACTAACTATAAATTATCCAGCAAATTAATAAATAGATTCAAAATCTGTCTAACCTTGCGTTTGATGTGCTTTAAACGTTGTCTCGACTCTTTGTGCTTAGATTATTATCTATTATTTGCCTTTTAGCAAATAATAAAGTTAAACTTAGTGAAAACAAACGCAAGTTTAGAAACACAGGTGAACACTTAAATGACGTCCCAATAACTATGGTACTTTGGAAGACGTTATCCCCAGGGGACGTTATATGAAAATATGAATCTCACAGAATGGCCACGTGATCACTATAAATAAGAATACGAGAGTATTACAATACAATATCTCTCCAGTTTAAAAATAAACACTGAACTGTATTGAAAAATGGGAAACGAAAGTAACCATTACTGTGAGATAAAACAAATATTGCATTAATTTTCCGGAAATTCGCTATATAAGATAACATATCTCTTTTATCAAGTTCACTCGTTATAATAGATGTACATCAGGTCATGTCATGTAAGAGTATACGAACCTCGCTTTACTCGTGTCGATATTTGGTAGTCTATGTTTCTTCTCTTTCTTCCTGATGACCCCAAGGCAGTTGCCGTTTCAATACACTTAGTACATTTTTCAATCCAGTCGTCCCATTTGAATCCCCGAGAGCCTTCGATAGGTGGATTTTCTACTCCAACAGACTCCTTCAACTGAAACCAAGATCAAATTATAAGCACAGGTTTCCTATTAGTATCTACAGATTTTTGTATATTTGACTGCATGTTGGATAGATGCGTTTGAGTTGTGGGTTCATTTTAAAATTGCTTGTGGGTAGTCATGCACGGATATCTTTTGACAGACAACAAATCTACTACTAGTACCTCTAATTCTTGTAAGGATGCATATCTGATACTTAAGAATATATTTAGGTACTCAACACTATTAATAAGAAATGATCACAAAAACATATGCTCAGTACAACTTAGCATGTGATACGCCTCGATTCTAGTTTTAGTCAAATCAATCGGTGTTCATTTTTCGATGTGTGCGGCTGTTTTTATAGACATGACTTTTGGCTAGTGAACTGGGCTCTAGCTTCTCTTTGTCTATATATGTTTTTATAATGTATTTATACCTTCCTGACTTTACGTTTTAGGTATCTTATTTTATTCTTAATCGTCCTGTAGCCTTGGAGTCCACTGTTGAATGCGTTCGATTCAGTCAGATCACAAATCTTCTGGTGGCCATCGCAGAGAGATCCCAAAATTTCCTTCAGCTTGTTATATTCTCGGACGAATTCATCCAGGGCAGTTTGGTGCTCTGCGGGATCAGGTAAACCACCACGTCTAGTGCGTTTACATTGGTTTTTTAGTTTTCGTAAGGTTTTCTTTGTTTCTTTAAACTTTTCGAAGCCGTTGTTATTTTTCTTATCGAGGTATCGGTCGAATTCATCGAGCATGCTAGAGCTCTCGTCAAGGCAATCCGTGATCTAAAACAATAACAAACACCGAAGTAAGATAACTTTAAAAAGTCCATTATTAAGGAGTGTGTTCTTACCTTATTTCGTACCATTGGAAAGTTATGATACTGATCTTGAATATGTGATAGGTAATTAGTTTTGAATTAATGTGCAGTGTGTCCTTAAAGGGATCCAACACCTTACAAAACTTCTTAACGGAGAGGAATAAGGGAAAATGCTTGCCGGATTCTGAATCTGTGTATTTTTTAATGATTTTTCACCGTCTTAGAATTTCAATTTTTTTCTTTTGAAAAAATGAGATTTGCATTGTTTTCCAATTAGACAAATGAGTAAACATGAATAGCTCGAAATCTAACGGTGAGATTTTGTTTTAAAAAATCATGGATATCAAGGCTAAATATAGCTATACAATAAACATAAAAAAGCAATGCTTGGACTCTTCATATTCACACAAAAAATTAATTAGTAAATGAGGTTTGATATTTGTGAGAATAAGTTGTACGAGTCGCAATGCTCTACAAACACCAGACTACAGGGTGGATTAGGATCAATGACACACATAAAAATTAATTTAAAAATATTTCATGATAATTATCTCAAACAAAAGCAGTTAGCGAAGGATACATTTCATTACACTCAATAAATAGTTATCACTTTTGACTATATATACATATCTCATGGGAATGTATTTCCATCTGCTCAATATATCACATTTTAGCTTCGAAAATCACAATCGTTGGATAATACATTTGTCTCAGAATGATAGGCCACCCTGTAGCAATGTAGCTTTCACTTGAAGTGTACCCTTGAGAATAATGAACTTACTTTCAAATTGGTCTTGCTTTTGTGGTGTATGTGGCTTTTTAGCAAATCTGCCACGCTCATTTCTTTCCAGAACCATCTTGTTCACATGTAACACTAGGCTATACGCGCATGTATAGACAGATGACATAGATATACATATAAATTATATATTGCACCTGTATTTACTTACATGGGAATATTCCCTTTGGAAAAATGCAAATGCATGAACATATATTTTCATCTTATATATGACTTCAAGCTAACATATTATTTCATATTTATATTTTCATAGTTAGTCTAACATAAATAATAGATCCATGAGAACAATATTCTTTGTTTTCTTAAAAATTGATGGGTTTACTGTGAATTCAATAAATTACAATTTGCAAGGGGTAAGTATACTGTATGACCTTAGTTGCAAAGTACTGTTTATATATGCAGCTCAATAGCATAAAATATGTTGAATGAAGCATATGGTAGGGATTAGTCGTGTGACACACAAACTGACCAATACATGAGGGTATTAGCTACTTTTCACAGAAACCAAAGGAGGACAGTGCTTTTATTTCAACTGGGAGCTTACCTCCACACGACTGATCATGTGACCATGGTGTTGGGTCCCTTTAATGAGAGTGATATACATGACGTACCAAAATGGATACTTCTCATGTTGGACGAGTGTATATCCAAATAATACATACATAACTGTCTCTTATTTAGCTAATTTAGTCCAGTGTTAAAAATAAGTTTAATGAAAATTTAAATTAACATTGCACAATGGAAGAGAGAAGAGTAACATGGGCGTATCAATAATGATATGCTTCTATTAATCTCAAGATTAATGTGCAAAAGTTGTGAATGACAAAACTTTTAAAGTTGTTTATACTAAATGAATTATATATATGAATGATTTATCAAACAAAATATACAATTCAATATAACTAGGTATTACATGTCACATTCTAGCCAATCGGAAAAAAGCAGACATTCTATATTTTAAAAGAAATGAATGGTTAAAAATAAGAATTGTAATAAGGAAAAACGTTGACCTTGAATGACAAACTAAAAAGTATCTTAAAACGTATCATAATGAGTAGCCAAGTAGATATACAGGGTGGGCCAAAAAAAATCCACTTTTTTATTTTCCAACCTACATGCCCCGAGTTTTGCAGTTCTAGTGCCAAGGGTTCTTAGTAATAATATAATGTAACAAGTCCTTCAAATGGGATTATATTTTATCTAAAAGAGGAGTTCAATTGTTCCGCCACCCTATTTGTTGATAGATTTTAGTTTTAGTCGCCTTGCTGATATAGCAGTATCAATGAAACGTTAGATTGGGTGCCTTCATACCATCTCCTGGAGACCTCCCCAAAGCCTATACTAACCTGGGGTCTGCATCAGGGCTATTAGCTTGGCGGTCATCAGGGCGTATCAGTTCAGGAACATTTTGCAAATTATGCCTATTGCTCATGGCACACAACATGTTTAAGTGAGACGCTGCATGGTGACATATTTTATTCAAGTAAAAGTGTATAAGTCATCATCCATGGCTAGATAACAACCTCAAGTTTTATTTGGTATGCAAATTATGATTTTGTATCAAAAATTTAAAAAAGTTATAGCATTTTGAAAAACGTGGCGTTTTTTTTGGCCCACCCTGTACTTATTCAGGACAACCTGTCTGATTAAATATTATTCTTTTGAAATAAATTGTTAAGAACCTTTTTACGTTGTGTAAGCCTATAACTCAATGAGTTGTGGATTATTAAGTGCACTCGGCTTTGTTCATACCTCAGTCAGTTCATCAATACGCCGTGGCTCTGTAACTTTTAATGCTTCCACATCCGCCTTTATTTTATCAACCTCGTCACGCGAACGTGTACTCAGTTGCCCAAAAATCTTCTTGAGGTCTTCAACGGGCAATGCATCTTAAAGCAGTATTAAAAGACATCTTTCTTGAGTTGCTAACTCTAGATCTACTACATTTGACAATACTAAACCAAAATGTAACACTATCACACTACTTTTTCCGAACCATTTCAAGCAATTGTATCGTGTTCGATGCTTCACAGTTGCCTTTGATGCAATCAATTGTTTGTTAATCATGTCCACCAGTCGGCATTATTGATCGCATTTGAATCAAATAACCTTCTTTGATCTATTTCAAATAACATAACATTAAATTGCAACATGTAAGCTACACCCCCAATCCACACTCTAAAATCACGGAAGAGTATGATACCGTACGTTACCGTTGGACTATAGTGCCTTACAGTGTTCATGTTACCGTACGGTACCATATAAAACAGTACCCTGAGGTACCGTTGCAGATTGGCTGTGAACGAGGGGTGATCAATAAGTAATGGACGCTTTTTTACACAGATACTTTTTATGGACCAATCCCTTCGATTTTCCTACCAGTGATACATCATTTAATTATCTATCAATTCTGAAGATTTGATATCCTTATTTCCGTGAAGGAAGTACAGGTACCCCGGGACCGACATTTACGTCACATATTCAGTTTTTAGCCAGTTTGGCAAATTTCAGTTAGATTTGAACTTTTTATATGCACCAAGTGTTGCGTTGTTTGAAATTTTTTGCTGACTGGAAACACAAAAACAGAAAGTATTATGATGTCAGAGTGTTGTTTGGAAGGGGTTTTCAGGTCAATTTGAGAAAGCATTGTGAAGAAAGGGGTGGTTGGTTAGAGAAGGGAACACCCTACTCCATATGGACAATGTACCTGCCCACAGATTTCAAAATGTTCAGAAAACAATATCCCTGGACCTCAAAATTGAGCCCTTGGCCAATGCACCATATTGTCCAGATCTGCTCACGCGTGACTTATTTATTTCTATACTACTTATTTCTATAGAGAAAGGACGCAGGTTTATTTACATTGATGAAATAAAACAACACGTGCAACTGCATCTTGCTACCATGTCAGAGAATGGATTCAGCCTTTTCTCACAAACTTGAGTTAAGAGGATGAGGAATTGTGTACATGTACATGTAGCACTTGATGGAACCTATTTAGAGAGCCCTGTGGAATAAATGTGGCATGAATACCACATAGTGATGGTAAAACATTCAAAATCAACTATGGCATAACAAAATGGGGTAATGTATGACCACAATGGTTTGTTTTGTTCAGCCTGCATTCAATTGCATTGTATGTTAAAACAAGCTAAAATAGCTTCAGAATGTTTGACGTTATGTCGGTCCCGGGGTACCTACACATCCTTCACGGAAATAAAGTTATATCAAAATATATTACATGTTTTGTTTTCAAATCTTCAGAGTTGATAGATAATTGAATGATGTACCACTGGTAAGAAAATCGAAGGGATTGGATCATAAAAAGCATCTGTGTAAAAAAGCGTCCATTACTTATTGATCACCCCTCGTATATCGTACATTTGGATTGAATTTGTCTTCGTGTTATTCATTTGCGCAAAATGTGGTTCTTTTTAAATGAGGTATTTTCACATATATGAATTTAAATTATTACATTTGCAAATAAAACAATTTTTCACAAGTTGTGAGTTTATATCCTGTAAGTTGTAAGTTTATGACTGCTTTAATGGTTACATGTTTATTAGTCTCAATACATAAAATAAATAATAAAAACATTGTAACCCCCCTATCACACCAAACTAGTTCTCAACCGTTCTTTCCAATCGAAAAAGTCGTAAACGGACTAAATCTGGCTGTGGTCGGAAAATATGTCTAAAATAATTAGCTACTTCGTTCATAAACAGTCTTCAATACGTCCATCTCATTCGCAGTTCGTTCAGATCGCACCATGTTGGTGTGCACACGTAATGCAAATGATATGTTTTAAGTTCTAGAGGACCTACCCGTTCGAGTACGTTCGATGAAGTTTTTAAATAGACCCCAAACGGTTCTAAGCGTCCAGTCCGTTCGTACACAGTTTTCGAGAACGTAGTAAGAACTAGTTTGGTGTGATAGTAGGGTTAGGAAAAGTTTCTGACCTGTTTTTACTCAAAAATCTTGCATTCTGGGACCCAATATTTTGCGCTAAAGACTGAGAAAGTCAATTCAAATTACATAACCTTCGTATTTTTAGTCGGACCCAGTGAGCAACCAAAGATGATAAAAATGGATACTTCTTATTGCCTTAGTATTAATGTTGAATCTGTTACCCTACTATCACACCAAACTAGTTCTCACTACGTTCTCGAAAACGGGCTTCAACTGTGTACGAACGGACTAGACCTACTAAGAACCGTTTGGGATCTATCTACAAACTTCATCGAACGTACTCGAACGGGTAGGTCCTCTAGAACTTAGACAATGCTCAAAATGTTCTCGTGGTCGTCATGTTCTACAATTAGAACGAGTGACAACGTACTAACGACGAGCTGGACGTACTACGAACGGAACCGTCGTACTTCAATCCTACTAGGGACGTTTTAACAACGAGTTGAACTGTCTGAGGACGTGTTGAGAACGAGGTAGAACTAATTGCAAACGGGTTTAAACTGATTAAGAACGTATTTAACACTGCTTATGAACGAGTTAGCAAAAATATAGCTATCACACCAAACAAGTTGCCACTGCGTTCTTCAAAACTGGTTTGAAACTGTGTGCGAACGGAATGAACGTAGCTGCAACTTTCTAAGGTCTATTTACGAACTTTATGAACGTTCTCAGACGGGAATGTGATTTTAGAATTTTGAATCGATTCAAAATGGCGACCATACCGTTCTGTAATCGGGTCATGTTGACCGTCTAGACTAAGGGACGCGTTCTACGACGTTGCACACCGACGTGGTGCGACCTGAACGAACTGCGAACGAGATGGACGTATTGAAGACTGTTTAAGACCGAAAAAGCTAATTATTTCAGGCATATTTCCCGACCACAGCCAGATTGAGCCCGTTTTACGACGTTTTCTTAGGACTGGCAAGAACGCGTAAGAACTAGTTTGGTGTGATAGGGGGGTAACAGAGACCAAGGCGTGAAATCATTGGCGATTTTAAAAATCCATCATGATTTTCTGAATTTCAAAAGATTTTAATTTATAACACACATAACCCAATGATGACTTTTAGATTGATGGAGGGGTGTACTGACCAGTTTCATTGACGGTAACATTAACCAGGGGTGCAGTAGGGGTGAGTATATCTCCTGTGTACTTCATCATCTGAAGATCGACCAGTCCGTTATCGTACCTGAATGTCACGTGTGCCCAATCGCCCTCCCTGAAACTCGACTGCAAAAATGAAAGAAAAAATAGTTTATAAAGGGGATGGAACTCTTAACCATTACTGGTATAGACGTAATTGCTTTGTGACTTCATTTTAATGGTTAAAAATGCCCCCTTCGTATTCATGAAAAGAGGTCTATACCAGATTTTTTTTAAAACCCGGGGCTTAAAAATGAGCCGAAATAAAACTTTGCGAGATAAATTGAACCTACTAACGATTAGAATAGTAACTATGTAATAATTATAGTTTGTTGGTTTTCATCCACAAAACGTCACTACACTTTAAAGGATTATCTAACACCCCAGTATTTTAATTTTTCAAACTTCAGAGGGCTGGGAATCATTGGTAATCAACACTTTTGAATAATATAAATATATAAACGATATAACCCAAAACAACCCAATAAGGTGTGTATTAAAGATTTATTTTTCTGTTATCTCAAAATCTGTTTGAAACTGTACCATTGGATTTCTATTGGAAATTCTTCAAAGACAAAACTCAAGGGATTAAGGATTGTGTACAGTTCACACAATTTGAGAAATTATTGTCATACAAGAAACTTATTTAAAACAGCATTTATATTATTCAATATCCTTGATTATCAATGATTCCCAGCCCTCTGAAGTTTGAAAAATTAAAATACCTTGGTGTGAATCCATAGATAATGCTTGAAAATGAGAAATATTTTTTAGGATTATATGGTGCAATCTTATAGTCAATAAAATGTTTTAAAGTGTATTGTGTTTTTTTTGGATGAAAAACATAAGCGAAATGCATGAAAAACATTCTCCAAACACCCCCCCCCCCCTCCTTTACTGAAGCATGATTAAAAGTGTGATATTGGACGCCATATATTTCCATGCTGTACCAAGGAGAGATGATTTGACCACGGTCTGTATTTGTTTCCGATAAATATAAATTACTTAAATGGACGTTTTGCACATAAGCTAAACATCATTTACACAACAGGGCCAATAATGCCTAGAACAGGGCCAATAATGCCTAGGCGTGGGCCCTGCATTACTGTATTGTATGACATATTCTCATGAAATAAAGAAAACATGAAAAAAACATTTACACTTATTAGTGCGTATACATGATTCGACATTTTATATTAAACTTACATCTACTTTTGCTACGATATCTTCCACTCTATCGCAGCCACATACTCCTGCGAGAACATAGAGACCATCTGGGCAATTGATGAACTCCACCTTCAACGTAGCTCCTATGCCATCCTCGCCTCCATTGTGAGCCACAACATAGTCATTCGTAATGTTATCCATTTTGATGCTAAAGGCAGTCGTAAACTGGTCACCATACCAGGCTCCATTGTACACAGGTACGGTCATAGAGGCTCCAAATTGAAATTCAAGAGCATATCCTTGGCCAAATGGAATCATGCCGATTGGAGATTCTACGGGCACAAATACAAAAACAGCCAAGTTTTCCTCAGCAAAATCCTGTTGATTTATGCTATCCCGAAGACTTGGTGGATCGAAATCAAATGTGAAATCGTGACAATATATTTCATTACCTACAATTGAAAAGTGAAGACAAGTATGTCTAATGTTACAGTTATCGGGACTGCATATAATATATGTAAAATTACACGCATGGGCATGGTGAGATTAATCATTTCGTACCCGTCGCGATGTCACCCTCACAACAACAATCGTCAACAAGGAAAACCTGGCCATCGGGACACTTTTGGATAAGATCTTCATCCCCCAAGTAGTAGTGGGTAGCATTTATAGCAGTATATACCTGGCCAGTACCGACCAAACAACACTCCTCTGAAGAAAATTAAAATGTAAAAGTCCATATTTTCAAACCGTCGTTATAAGTTTTTAAAAGTGTCCACAGAGTTCGCGTAACCAATATGACAGATGAGTTGGTATTAACTAAGCTTGTATTTTCGAATGCAACTAACGGCTTCCAGCTACCGGATTAAACGGATTGACTCATTTAAATGTGAATATTACCTGCCACTTTTTTGTTCATATTTATACGAGTCGGTTTTGAAATCGTATGTTAATTGGTAGCTGACAGCCGACATTTCCATTCGCGAATACAAGCTAAATAAGGAGTATCGTCCTCAGGTGCATCCTACGTGTTATTTAGGTCATAATGACCTCAAAAGGTCAAACCAGTGCACATCTTAAAATCAAAATTTTTGCAACGAAAATCATCATTTATCAAGACCAAAAATGTGAAAGTATGATGAAGATTCATTAGCATAGGTGGAACTTCACAAAGTTCAAATTTTGATTTTTCCCTTAGCTCCACATGATGATATCCCCAAATCAAGTATTCGTAATTTTGAAATGAACTAGGGGTAATCTTCATTGCCTTATTTATAATGTATGCATGTGTGTATATATATTGTATTTATAATGACACTTCGGATGGCGGATCATTTGCAATATAATCAAATATTTCTATTGACGACCTTTATATCTGGGCATTACTAATTTGCAAATAACTGAGTCTTAAACTAACATCTTCTTTACACCCATAGCAGTGTCGCTATCCTTTCTCATTTGAACACATTTGTCATGGAGTATTGATATTTAATACAAATAATTATTAATCTGTTGAGTCTTCCTCTCAATACAATATTTGTTTATGAAATGCAATATAAACGTAAAATGTCATCATTATTTGACTCACCCTGTATATGAAATTAAATTAGAAATGCCCAACTTATACATGGAGTTCATAAAGTTTATTAACTTTACATTGTTATTTCGTTTATTAATGTTCATTGTCACAGACTGTATATAATTTTTTATTTTCGACGTTTCAAATGCATACTGTCTGTGACTATGAACACTTATAAACGGAATTAATATTACCAGACTATGAACTTATTAAATGTAATCACATTGTTATTGTAAAAATACTTTATGAACATTCTACATACATGTACGTGTATGTTTACAGAATGCAAAACATGGCTACCTTCTTTATTGAGATCTTGGGGGCATACCCCGGGCGTGTACACAGGCAAGACTGTAAGGAATAAATAAAGACGTTTAAATTATTACTAGTCATAAGAGGGACGGTCAACAAGTATAGTTGTTTTTACACAAGCCCTGACACCAAGTTTATATTTGCTTATATTGCTAACTAGTGATAATTCGCCTATAATTCGGTTTTCTCACCTCGATATATAGAGTGCCATATCTTACATTAATCATTTTTAGGCAAATAAGTTTATATGTTAATGGGTAAGCAAATCAAATATGAGTAAATGACATTGCACTATTGTCATTACCTGGACAAGAGTCATAATCACAAGCGGGGTATAACTCGAACAATACGCATGCGCATTTCTCTGGGTTCCATACTGTTCCTACAGCACAAGGGAATTTCCAGCCTCGTTCTGAAGTGCCACGTGGTTCTTCACAAAGGACAAAATGGCAGCAATCCCCGACATATTCTATCAATCCAGGTCCAGAATTACATTTTGCTATAAAAAGACAAGATATCGTGAGCTCATATTTCACAACGCAATCTATTATCTGTTTAATATTTACCGACCATACGTGATATTTGTCGCGACAGGTTTGTCTCCCGGGGGGTTCACTATATATAAACCTTGACGGGGATCCTCGGCGCATGTGGGGTACCTTTTTCAACGTTTGGTATGGCAATGGACCCATATTTTAGGATTTGGTATGGGAATGCCCGGAAATTTCTGACTTCTGAGGTATGGCAATGGTCGCACTTTTGCTCTTCTGGCATGAGAATGGTCATTGTAGATACGTTACCTAACATTCGTGGTATGGCATTGGTCCAGTAGTTGCACATTTGAAGTTGTTTTGGATCGTTTCCCGAAGTATCTTCTTTGAGGTATGGCGATTAGTCCTGTATTTGCACATTTGTATGACATTGATCCTATATTTCATTTACTTTGAATTAAGGTATGGCATTGGTCCCATATTTGGACATTTGGTATGGGATTGGTCCTACATTTTGACATTTGGTATGGCATTGGTCCCATAATTGGACATTTGGTATGGCATTGGTCCTATATTTGGACATTTGGTATGGCATTGGTCCTATATTTGGATATTTGGTATGGCCTTTGGGCGTTATTTTTGTTGGTATGGGAACATATTGACATTTAACAGATTGGTATGGGAACATATTGATATTTGAGGCTTCAGCCAAGGACCCCCGTCTAGTTTTATATACAGTGAACCCCCCGGGGTTTGTCTATTAAAATCCTTGTAATAATTCTATCAAAGTTCGACAACGTACCTTGTTCTGTTACATTGAGCCTCACAAACTCAGCTGAAAAATAAATTTGCGATCACTTATTTTTTGTAATCTGTATTATAAGACATATTTATCATTATATCATATTCTGAGGTATTCGAAAATATTTGAAATAATTTAATAATAAGGACATCAATTAGTTTAAGCCTGTTCTGGTTAAAAAGTGGTGTCCTTGAAATGCGAAACTGTTAAAATACACATCGTTTATGAGTCACAGTATTTTACAATCGTTCATAATGACAAAAGAAATAGAGAGTTGGAAATTTGATCAAGCATCCACTTCCCGGGATCCACTTACGTAGAATCTCTTGTGCCAATGCTACTGTTGGCAGGCACATCAACAGGATAGCCCACAGCATACCCTTCCTAAAATTCATTTGAAATTTAGAAAAGTGGCATTCACAAATATAATTAAATTGTTTAGTGGTGCGCGCACACATCGCGATCGTCCCTTTTGACGATACGTTAATTCAGTCTAACACCATCGCCCTCACATGAACTTACTTCATAATATCTGATTATTATTCCATATCAACGTATTGAATAAAACTTTGTTAAGTATTATTAGTCTGTAGGGATTCAGGATAAACAGATAAGAGAATCTGAGTCTAAATTTCTTTTTTTGTAATGTTTATCGATGTTAACTACACCTACCTGGATTTGGTGTTATATATATTATTAAATATATATTTTAAAAAGCTCCCCAATCTAAGTATTTCTAATGGGGACGTATGCGTCTGTCAGATGTTGTGACCCCTTAGTTACGATTACTTGTTTGACACAATCACGATTAATGGAGGCATTAAGTAATTATATTGTAGTTTTTTACTCAGCGTGTGTTGTATGACATATGAGTCACCTAAATAAGGATTTTCTTTAAGTACATAACAATACGAGTGATATTTACTTATTAAGGATTTACCACTAGCAAGGTATGTGGAAAAATTGATGATAGGTTAATTATTTGATAGGCTCATAAATGTTCGGGCATACAATACTGCTTTTTCTCCTAGTTCAAAACTCTGAAATCAAATCTCGTTGAGGAAACTACATGTTGTACTCGAACAGTATTAAGCAGTTATTCTCCAAATGATGGTTCACATAACTTTTCATGTATATTAAATTGACGTTGGTTTGACATGGTATTTTGTGGTTGTGGTGTCGTTTGGAAATATCGTTTTTGTGTCACCACCAAAGTTGTGATATACTGCTCTAGTCTTCAGCTTTTTTGTGGACTGTGTTCGACGGTCAGCTTTTGGCTCTGTAATATATGGTAGGTGACATTTTGCATGTCCATGCCTTGTTTGCTGATGTTGTAATACTATCATATTGTTATAACATGAGGCTATATTGCATTATCAATTGAATTTTGCAGTGGCACTAGGCCTAAACATTTTCATTGCAGAGTGGCCATGTTGTCGGCCATCTTGTTTACTTGTGCTTCAATCGCTATTGGCCAGGAAATTATGCGTAAGTAACAATATTTATAATTTCAATTTTATTAAACTAGAGAAATTAGTTCATTTTCCAAAGTAAGTGTACCTGTAAAGATTTGATACTTAGGAAAAGTATTTCAAAACAGAATTAAACAATTATACATGTATACATCAAATTTTGAAAATCTCACGTTTGTGGTCAATACACATTAACCTGTAAATGCACTTACAATGTCTTTCATTTACTTTTCAGCAACCTTACTTATACTGAATTCTACACAGCAAGGTAATTACTTAGATCGGGACCCCGGGATCGGGACTTAGATCTTTTAAAATAGCAACTAATATCATAAGTGTTAATGTATAAAGGTTGGTAGGTGTAAATTATGAAAGTAAATATATGATTGTTTAGAATGCACACATTATTGGCAGTGTCTATGTAGTCTTGCTCAAAGACTGTATCCACCCCGACCCCCTCCCCCCTTCCCCCGTCACCTTCACTCTCTTTACCTGGCAATATACCTAGAGAGAAGGAAGGAGAAGGAGCACAGGGTCTTTTAAGCACGACTAGTGTCTATGTTAATTTTCTTTATTTGACTTAAAGCACAATGCCAAAGTGGACCCGGTTTGATACAGCACGAGGAAGATTGTTGCCACTTTGTTCTTTGTGAAGAACCGCGTGGTATGTCAGACCGAGGCTGGGTATTTGAATGTGCATACGGGACAGTATGGAATCCAACTGCTTGCGCATGCGTGTTGCCAGAGCAAAATCCTTACTGCGACATTACTGCATGTCCAAGTAGGTATAACATCACATGTGAGGTACATGACTGTATTTTTGCATTATTGTTTAACCATAAAAGACAATTAGATAGACACTGGCGGATTCAAGGGGCATGGGGCCCGCCCTCCCCTTGGGTGGGCTCAGAAAAAAATAGGGGCCCAAACATTTTGTAGGGCCTTAATTAGTGGCCTTTTTGGGCATTACTTGGCTTTTTGGTGCCTTTTAGTCCAAATTATGAAAAAGGTCTTAGATTTTCAACATTTAAAACAAAAAAGGATAAATATTAAGATAAACCTTGAATTTCATTAATACTTTTTTAAATCGACCAAACTTTCCTTTGTACAAGTAAATTGTACAATTAGATGTGTAAAGGTAAAAGCAATTGAGGAGAACGACAAATCATTCAATTTAACACAAAGGGAAATATTGGAGAGAGAATCGTTATTGTTCAGATATGCTGTATTTATTCCAGCAAGTATAAAAAGAACAACAAAGCCATGCCCGCCAGTTGACACGATTAATGCTACAGGTATTTTAAAGATAAGTCACCAATTGCAAATAATTTGAAAGTTTGCTCTATATTCTAATACTAGCAGTCTAACAAAGTCTATCAATATCGATTGATAATGTCAATCTCTTCGCAATTGATACGGTTATTACTATACAGAATGTCAAGTTACTGTTTCATGCCTTATTTTACTACTTTATTCTTCAGAACAATGCTGTCTTGAAAGTAATGGAATTGTTTTTACGTCAGTGAATGCCACCTCGTACTATAAAGATAATGAAACGGAAATACAATCTTGTCCAATAGGTTTGTCTCTACTTCAATTGTATACAGGTATTAGGGAGTTTAAGCTTGCATATAAAATCGAAGCGCCAACATATACGTATGACCAATCGCCAATACAAATACATTGCTTAAAATATTTTCCGTTCACGTTTAGGTTGTGAGCTTAAACTCCCCATTGTAGGGTATTTACGCATTGCTTGAAAGACAAAGAACGTGCAACCAGTTTCACTCAAATGCCTATAACAACATTGCTCGAAACTGAATTCAGCAATTTACACCATTTTACATTAAGCTTATCAAGCGACATTATTGGTAAAGAACGAAGTATCTTGGGGTGGTGTCGTGTTTGAGGTGTGGTGCTCCAAAAATTGGATTTCGATCTTAACTAAGAACTAGATATTTGCATTTTCTTCAGCAGCATTTCAGACTTTTATAACATATTGCAATAACAAATAAATAACAAAGTACAAAATACAGGAAATTATATTTTGAAATTCTATCGTCGCAACAGTACATTTTCTTTCGATGTTCAAAGTAGCGCATACACTTCGAAACACTCGATCACTATGATCTATTTGACACCTTTTACCCCTTTCCGTCAAATTTCCAAATGGTACCATTCATATTGATTTCTACTTAGAGGGTTGCGTTTGACAAATGAGACATCTGCTCTAAGCGTGGTATGAATAATCTTTATTCAGATATTCAATATAATATTTTTTAGGACAAGTGTTTTTGGTGGACGATTGTTGTTGTGAAGGCGATACCTTTACTGCTCCAAACTTCTGTATGCAGTTTAACTTTGATGGTGACCCACCTTCCCTCCCAGACGAAATTGATCAAAGTAATAAATCGATTACAAACCTCTTGAACTTCATCAGCGTCACAGACACGGTGTTGGAGACAGTTCCGTTATCCAACCGATACGGAGTTCAATTCAAACAAGGTGCTCGCCTTGCGATTCCGCATTACAATGGCGCGTGGTTTGGCCACAAATTCACGATATCATTTGACTTTAGGCTGGAAGATATCACTAGAGATACCTTGATCCTACACAATGGCGACGAAGATGGCGTCGGTGCTAGCATCAAAATCGAATTCATATCATGTCCAGAGGGACTCTTTATCGCAGCGGGCGTATGTGGATGTGACAGGGTTGAAGATATTGTTGAAGAAATTGATGTGAGTAGGATATTTATGGTTGGTATTGTATATGTTCCTTGGATATAGGCTGAATTATCAAGGAGAAAGAAAACAAAACTATTGATCGGGGATTTAATCTAATGGGTCATTTTAATGAATCAAGTGGTCGCAAGTAGTCTGTAATCCGAAGTTATCTCACGGCTTTGTAGACCTTCCACTCCCCTGTCAGAAAGCAGCACATGATATAATAATATCATGAATTTGAATTAATGAAAGTGTTTTTCCCGCAGAGTAGGTATATGAATGGAGACTGGGGAAACATTGTATTCAGGTATGATGACGGGACGTTGAACCTTAACGTTGTCAAGTACGATGGAACTCCAGGAAGCGTCTCAACCATAAACCTTCTTTCAAAAGAGGTAGATGAACCAGGTATATACTCATTTATTAATGTCCATCAAAAATTCCACTTCAGGCTTTGGGCTCTAAATTTTCCTTTCATTTATAAATTATCGCTAAATTAAAAGGGAGTCAGTCGCCAATAACCAGCGGACCAAAAAAACGACATTGTCTAGTTTAAGCTTCGTGTTTTTTCTTTGTTCTAGATCCATTAAAACTGGGACAGCTTCAGAAGCTTGTTAAACAATACAACGCACGTGTTCAAGACGAAATTGTATCAATCAAGAGTGACATCGCCACGTTGAAAATAGATGAACCAGACAGAGCAACCGATCTTGAAGAGGTGATGAAATAAAAGTTATTGACTGATTAGATCTTTTAATTGCAAATATTTCAGATATCTGATTAGTTGAGAAAATGTCTTGGTATTTTGAATTCTTTAAGGTAGCGTTAAAATCGAAAATGGAAATGAAAATGAAAATGGCCTGTTATTTTCATAATTTTTGTATAGTTCATTCCTAAAAATCACAATTTATTATAACAAATATCCCTGAATCAATTATGGAAAATTGTTAATGGGCTGTACATAAAGAGTGTAGGGTCAATATAGTCACATCATCATCATTTCCAGAAAGGTCATTTGCAATATTCTAGTGTAGTGCAATAATCATGCTTGAAATTAAATTTTAGATCGAGCAATGTCTTGAGGAATTACAAGGCAGCTTGGGCAGTTTGGAAACATACATAGAAGGAACCGGCAGCCCGAGTTACAAAGAGTTCAAAGATGCAAAGAAGGATGTAAGAATGTTGAAGAACCAATGTAAGAAAACGAGAAAAGGGAGACTTCCAGATCCCGTTCAGCATCAAAAGAAGCTGGATAATTTTGTCATCGAGTATACGAAACTTAAAGAAATCATAGGGTCACTTTGTGAAGGATTCACGAAATTGTGTGACCTTCAAAATGCTACACATTACAAAAATGGGCTTGATGGCAAATCAGATATCAAAAGAAAGATCCGATATCTTAAACGCAAGCTTAGAAAGGTATGTACTGGTTGAGAACAATATAAATCATTAATACATAGTCATGTATGCACGCCGAAAAACATTGGCAATTTCTGCGGTAGCTTACCTGCCATAAAAACTGCCTAACATCTGGGTCCTCTATGAGTGTGTGCAGGACTATATTCTTATTTTCATCGTCATATTATTTCAGCTAAAGACTGCAGTGGGTGCAGAAGATCCTCAAGTTAGGGCCCAAGGTGAGAAAGGTGCAAAGTGGGACAGTTGGATAGAGCAATGTGAAGATTGCATTGCTAAGGCTAATGCACTTACAGTTGGAAGAGGAAAGCGGAGTGCTCAATTTAGGGTAAAGAGAGGTGCGTACATCAACAAAGTAAGCTAAATGATCGTAATGGTTCACCTGATTCAAGCGTATTGTTATTGTGTTATGATACAATATAATATTAACGGTATTATATTTTATACTAGGTATTTATGGAGATAACAACACAAAATAATTCTTATATGCTCGACTAAAATCGTATCCAGCTGATATGACGTGATATCCAATCCAATCCGATAGACACTAATAAGATTTGAATTTGGCATCGAAAATAAATTGAGCGCCGAAATTGATTTTAAAGTTGTACTCAAACCATTTTACTCGATTTGGAGATATTAATGCTATCTTACCGTATGAAAGCCACACTTTACGATGGTGAACCATCAACAATTCCAAATACACTTTACGATGGTGAACCATCAACAATTCCAAATATTCATTTTATCATGATATCGGTGATATAAAGTCAGCACGTGTCTGTTTTCGCGGCAAAACTGATTTCATTTTCAGAGCAGAAATTGTTCGTCACGTGACATGACGTGTGTGGTTGAAACAATTTGCCGCGAAATACGATTTTGTAGATAAAAATGAAACCCTGGCTTTCAAAATCGAGTTATTCACTCTTATGTTGAGCCAATTATTGCATGTTTGGGGCTATTCTCATCAATTTTGAAAAGGGTATAAATCACCTGCAATTGAGTGCGGAATCAGTCGAGCTGAAACGCTAATGAAAGCATGTAAGTTAAACAACAGCAAACATTGCCAGTGTTTGGGGATTAAAACTGTTCAACCCGAATGTAATGCTGCAAGGCCAAAATATAATTATTGGGTTAACATTTTCAGTTATCGATATACGGTTTCACAAATGGATTTCAATCAATTCCTTGAATATGTAATGAATAATATTGCAGTGCTCTTTCCTCAAGAATTTCTTTTTGTGAAGTTTAATCAATTAAAAATATTTATTTGGCTATTGGAATGGGTGCGAATGAAACTAATGTTTATTTCCACTTTGGTCCAGCCTTCGTAGTAGTTTGCAACAACAACTTTTCGATTTAGCGCCAGAATAACTTGGCACACGGTACGTCATGGTCAGGTGACCTCAAAAAGTGCGCAACAATGACAACATTTCAGAGGTTGACAGTCTTATCTTAATAAATCGTGTTTTTGGGGGGAATATCACAAGCTTTGTAGTCAACATAACAAATGGGATGATATTTGTGCTAAAACAAGATAATAAGGGATTCTTTAATTGGTTTTAGTACAACTTTAATGTTTCCATGTCATCGTTTTACTTGTTTTTCATGGTAAAGCTACATATGGCCTTTTTGAATCCGCAGAGTAAAAATTCTTGAAGAATTTCTGACATTCCGCAACCAAGGTGAAAATTTAATGTGATGGTCGATATCCACTCAGGAATAAAAATTAAAAATCATAAAATATTTTATCCCACGATTAATGTGTTATCTTTACAATAACGGCTATTGATATTTCTGATATTACTGAAATCCGTGTGATATTTTCCAGAAAATCGTTTATCAAACTCATATGCGTGTGATATCGTTTATCTCACGCATATCCGTGTGATATCACATTTGCATTTCGCGCCACAATATTGTTGGAAATTAGGTCAGATAATTTATTCTCTTTTGAGAAAATAGGTCCGTTAATTTATTCTTTTTAAGTTTCAATGGTGTATTGAATTACGATTGTGTATATAACTTGATTAGAACGCTGCTAACTAACGATTAAAAATGGTATTTATGACGCACTATATCATGTACAGAAAGTAGTGCATATTTTGTTCAATTGGTATTCTAATTTCTAGTTTATATTGTCTGCCAATGTCCTGGAAATTGGATCAGAACATCACAAGGTGATTGTAATCATGGGATAAACCCAATATCACATAATTTCTCGTGATATCATTTTATCGCCTCGTAGATATCAAATGATATCAACTCGGCGATAAAAATGATATCACTCAAAATGATGTGATATTCTGTATATATTAAATCCCCTATGTTTAAAGTGTGCGCCAACGTTTATAACTGCGCAGGTGCAGCGCTCTCGCTAACCTATATAAAGAGATTACAAGGTACAGGCTTCAGAGGTAAGCCAGGGAGGTGAACAATCTTCGTCCTGTGTTGATTTCCCGTATTATCATAACCAGGCAAGTTTCACCATTGAAATTGAAAATTACTATTAGATATACTTTGCAGATATTATTTATGAAGCTATTGAGTGTATGCATCAATCGAATGGCTCATTTTGAACATATAAAAAAGTATTTGTGTTTTGTTTCCCAGGGAATTGTATTCCCATGTAGTACACACATAAATAGTGTACATTATGTAGTACTTGAATAGCCTGGTTTATATAATATTGAAGGGCATGCTGATTGTACACACGAGTACATGCATGAAGGCCTAATCTTGATATAGCTTGCATACCTAAATAAAAAATCCCCTAATGTAAACACGGCGGTATACGATACGTAGCCCGATTTATCGTTGACTTTAATATTATGTCATTGTGTTATTGTGGTACATTGTATGTTGTGGATGCGTTCAGACAATGTATAAGAAAAGTAAATTAATAAACATGACTATGTTTAAATCATTATAATTAAAGCCTTATTCAGCTTTATAACATATGTCATGTTTTTTATATCTCTTAAAGATGACGAAGTGCCCGGTCCAAATAACATAAAGCAAACAAAGTTTCCACTTGTTTTCGGAGATGATTTAGTTGGCAGTATGGACCAGGTATGATTTTTCACAATACTCTCTGTATTCAACGAGAAGCCATTTCATCGATGCTTGAAAAATATAGGCATCTAATATGTCAAGGAACATTACTGTATGTTTGTAAGCGAATATATAAATCATGTTGTCATGTAAATGTACTGACTAGTTCCGAGCTTTTCTTGTTTCCAATGGATTAAGTTACAGGGCGTTTCTTGATGACCCTCTTATACTTAAATTAAGTATTAAATTCTTTGTAATGCATTTCACATTTTGCTGTTGTAGATTTTGATCTGCTTGTTCAGGTATCCGGATTCGGACACCGATGATCTTCAGGAAATGGGTAGAGTTATTTATTCACCTCCAAATGAATAAAACTACATTACATTGTGAGACTACGTTACATTGTAACATGTAATACTTAAAATAAACGCTGTTTATTCTCATTCTTGATGAATTGTAGAATATAACTGTTTCTTTAAACTGTGAAGCAGTCACTGACCGTCGGATATCTATATCAGGGAAAGGGGTCATAAACAAAGGCTCTGCTAAGCTCAGTTAAATATACCTGTATTATGCCTATATATTTCACGAACCGTTGCATTTTCTATGCCCTATATTCTACAGTTAAAAGTCTAACATAACTTTAATTTGAACTAAACCTTGTGGCAACATTCCCTGGATATTCCAAAATGAAATATAGCATGATGTTGTTCTCGTTCCTTGGATCCTGTCAAAAGTTGGAGAAAATTGGCTGCTGTATGCACCATTTTGTACAAGATGAAAGTGATCAAGGGCATGATTTGAGTATCAAAATAATATTTATTGTTAAATATTAGGAATCAATTAAAGTATAAACTAAGGAAACATATATATGGCAAACCTGAATATCGTCAAATATGAAAATGCTGATTCAATGTCGGATGGATACATGGTTATATGTTCAAAGAACATTATAGTTAACAAAATTAGAAAAATAAATGCGTTACAATAACATGATTGTTTATCTCATATATAGGACAGTGTACAATGTTGTTCAGATAGTGCCACTCTCAAGGGTCACTTCCCCTCGATCCTGCAGATCGTCTATTTGTCGGTCTGTGTAGGCAAACTGGCAAACTACAACCTAAAGTGTCAAACGACGCAAGTTTAGATTAAGACACATCTACAACCGATTACAAACGGCCATGAAGAAGACAAATCACCAACATTCCCAACAAATATTAAAGTATGAAAACAGTGTTTGGCGCTCACTTCCATTATTTAAGAATAATCTTCGCAATAAAAACCACAGGTTCAATCAAATCATACATCGTCAATCCTTACAATCAGAAAACACAGAAACACAAAATAACATCACAAAAAATCGAAGTGCATTGTTTCAAACATATAATTTACTTTAATGAAAACTAACCTCGTCAAGGGATCCGTCAAGATTTTCCCCGAACTTCAAATCGAACTTAGTTGGAATTATGTTAAAGTTCGGTTTCCCATATCCATCATCTTAATAAAATATATGACATATTAGAAAACGTGAGTGTTAAATCAAGTCGAAGTCTCGGTCTGTAAATCACCATTTGATCTTTATATTGCTTTTCCCGAGAGAGTCAAACGCATACCTCGTCTCACTCTCAGCTGTTCATCAATATCCCGTTTCCTTCGACCCTTTTGAAGGAGTTTAGACACTTCAATACAAACTTCAGCATCCTCCATCCATATTTCAAGAGTTTTGCCGAAACCATCTCTATTATCCAAGTCCTCTTGAGCGAATGCATAGGTCGCCTGCAATTATTTGTACATGTGTTGAATGTATTGAAAAGGTTGAATATAAATTTAAGTGGTTGTAAACTTGCAGAATATACCCTAAACCTTAACCGTACTCACACTTATTCAGTTATTCAGTCAGTATATTTTACCTTTCTTAATTTCCGTTTCACAGTTTTCATTTTCTTCAGCAGCTTTTTGTTGAGTGCGCTGAAATGGCCAGACTCCTCGAGATCACATATTTTTTTATACTTTCCATTTAATTGAGAAATTAGATTAACAAGATTGAAGTACTGGGACTTGAAAGTATCGAGAATCTGTTGTACATCTTTTACGGTAGGAAATGAACCACGCCCGGCATTTAAACAGCGAAGTCGAATTCTTTTCAGAAACTTCTTAGAGTCCCTAAATGACCTTATGTTTGTGCCGTCCCTTTCATCATTTAGGAACGGACCAAGTGCAACAATGGAAGCCTTCATATCATCCAGTGTTGAGGCTAGCTAAAAATAAAAAATAAAAAACAAGACACACTGCGATAAATATTGCACTTTCTATCAAGAGTTCAAAATGGCTGACACGAAATTCACCCATCATGCTGATAGCCTTATCAAACCTTAGCACTCAGAGTCTATCCTTGAATATGTAAATGTCTCAAGATGAACAGATGGGCGGTTTTCTTGAAACTCCGATAAAAAATATGACAATCACTTTTCCATTCATATTATTTAATAGTAGGTTAATCTGGTAGCCGACAGCCGTTATTTGCATTCGCGAATACAAGCTCAGTGACATTGGATATTTCTTTAGAATCTTTTTTATTCTCAGTTTTACCACGTTTCTCTTATAGAAATACATTACTTTTCTCCTTTTATACTTAACAAATTCTTACCTCATCAATTTTTTCGATTTTTGAATCATCCGATTGACTCTTTGCTCTCAAGTCCGTCAAGTCTTCTTGAAAATCATCTATTGCTTGCTCTGCACGTGTATTGTACTGTTGCAGTACTTTGATAAGGTCATTGTTGTTCATTGAATCTAGTAATTGTGAACAAATTATTAAAATTTGAGGATGCAATTTTCGAAATTGGGTTTTTTGATCCAGAAGGGCCAATATACATTATTACCACCTTGCAGGGCCTGTTCTAGGGGTTTTAGTACTAGTCGAGAAGGCATTTAAATTGCTATATTGACGTGAGCAATATTGTGTCGGGCGTTAATGACTTTAGTCGGGCAATAATGACATTATCCGCCCGGCTATGTTTCCCGGGAAAAGTGATATCGTTCAGTGCGTAAGATTTTCTATTTCAAATTTGCTATTTCAGCCCTGGTCATTAACGGTGGTAATAATAGTAATAACGTCATTTCTGCGGGCAAAATAGTGAAATATTTCACTATATTGCCCGCAGAAATGACGTTATTGTACTATTGTTACGTTCTTTCATTATGGTTTACAACCAGGCAAATATCTATGACCACATATGGCATAATTGGGGTGCTATTAAGAAGATAATAAAAAGAGTTGCAAATGCTGTTGAAATGACATCAAATCGGTTTGTTTCCCTTGCTCCGTTATATTCATCAAGAAAGATTTTGTTCTGAGTACAAACCTGGTTCAAAATCACCACGTGAAGCGATGGTTCGTGGAGAGTCATCTGTGGTGACAACTTTCAGTCTCAAAGTACCTTTGTTATACCGAAACGCAACATGCGCCCAGCTACCGACCACGTAGGGATCCTGAGATAACAATTATATGACATTTCATGCTTTTCCCGCCAACTGATGTAATGTTTTAAAAACACAGGCATATGTTCACCTTATAGTAATCCCCCACCCCTTGAACTGGGTAAGATGTACCTTTTGAAATCTTAGACGTCTGAGTATAGGGACGCCTTTACATTTTATTACCAGGTTTGTGACAATCTACATGTACTTTAATTGATAGCCCATAAGCATTTTCCTTTTGGCAACTACCATTTCTTACATATTAAATATACATTGGCTACAATATAGATATAATGAGGGGCCAATCATAATGTGTACTACAATGCATTTCTTTCAGTATCTCGTTCAAAAGACATTGGGGAAATTCATTTATTTAATATTTTCGTATACTTTTTAATAAAATGTTCAGATTAAACATTACCGTATGTATGTTGTCTTACCACTTTTCCTACAACATCTTCTACTCGATCGCACACATGGACGCCAGCCACAACAAACAAACCATCAGGGCACACAATGAACTCTATCTTTACACTAGCCCCGACACCATCAATATCTCCGTTGTGGACCATAACGAAATCCTCTGTAATATCCTCTAACTTGAAGAAAAACCCAATCGTAAACTCATCTCCCAACCAACCTGCGTTAAACCTCCCGACATTCATATGAGCTCCTTCTTGGAATTTTGCACCGTAGATGTTTCCAAATGGCCTTTCTTTGATTGGAGTTGTCTCCATGTCGATGAAATGAACAAGTTCCTCCGTTGCGACTTGATGGTGGTATTTATCAACAAAATTAGCCGAATCGAAATTGAAGTACAAGCACGTCGTCGGGTTTGGTATATCAGGTTCTCCTTCGCAACAACAATCATCAATATAGAACTTCTGGCCCGGCGGACAGGCTTGTTGAACTTCGTTCTCTCCTTGTAGAATATAATGAGTGCCATCAATCTGTGTGTACACCTGGCCTGTTTCCCTGAGACAGCAATCTAAAATAGGTACATGTGGAGGTATTTGCTGTGTGATAAATTGATGAATGCCTTGAAAATCTGCCAGGGTTTATGAAATGTCTTTTTGTAAAATATTAAAGCATTCAGTATATATTCAGAATATATTAATCATTTAAGTATGATTATGTCTGGATGATCTTTGGAGTTACTATGTTTTTATTTTTTTCATTATTATTTCTGTTTATTAAGTCATGTTACAAATACATTTTCAATGTTACAATTATAAGATAGTGTCACCTATTTTCCAAAATTGTGGGTAAAATACATTTTTTCTTTTAGCTTTAGATTTTTTCCTCAAAGAGTGTAATATTATAACATCTGACATTATTGTCATTTATCTGTCCTAGGCAAACCTTATAAATCGTATATAATGTACATGTAATTACACTGAAAAATAGTCAGGAAAGGATGTCTCTGGGTATATGCCCTTTTGGTCCCTCAGTCAAATGTATGTGAAATATGGTTTTTATTACTGTCCTAGTTATATTTGATAAGTATATTTACTTTTTCATGAGTTTTGATGCATAATTAACCCCCTGCTGAGAGTCAGAATAAGTATCTTAACAAACAAAAAAATAGTCATAGTTTGTATGTATGACATACAAAGAAGAAATAACTTAAGACCAATGAAGAATTAAAAAGAAAATCATATTTTTGAAATATATTTAAGGATTAAATTTTTTTCAAATTTTTGAATTTCCCGCCAGTTTAATTTGAAGCGGGAAAAACAAGATGGTTGCCATTTGATGTAAGAAATATCAGGAAAAAAGTTGCTTCACTTTTAGTTTTCACAATGAGCACAGTTTTCCGGTTTAGGTTTTCTGACTGATTCTGACTCTTCATCACCAGGGTCATGTATAGAGATTATAAAATTGAAACCAAAATGTTGTGCTCAGCATGAATTGGACTGAAATATGTGTAACATCACCAACACAATTGAAGTCTCAAAACTGGATGCTCAGTAACTTTGAGTGACTATAATCCCTTGATTACCCAGATAAACACCAATTCACTTATCCAGAAATATCATTCAATGTCTATACAAAGAAAGTAACCAATGTTTTGGAAGATATGTTTCAAACTTTTTGCATAAATAATTCATTTGATATTTGCCATTTTTTTTTCAATTCTGACAAAGTGATATGCACTGTCTTTGATGCCAATATTCTTCATCAATTGTGATACAAATTGATATTTTTGTAATCTCAGAAGGATAAGATATTGAAGTTTAATAATATGTGTGATTGAGTTGGTTTTTCAGACATTACAATTTTCAATATTTTCTAAGTCCATACCCAGACTCATTCCCAGACTCATCCTTTAGTGATATCATCATTGCCATTATAACCTAAAGTAATTTTTCTATAAGTAATTCTTAATTTTGATTTATCTTGTATAAAAGTCCACACACTCCTTGCCAAAACACTATGTTTTGCTATGTTTTTCTAACCATTTGTGTATATAGTGCATGAGTAAATTGCCATTGAAGTTAATATATTACCTGGTCTGTTAACAACTTCGGGGCACGTCGGAGCTTCAAAAACCACTTGTTCTGGAAGAAATGCATAGTTCAAGGTACAACAGGGGATGGATCTAGTATTTCTCGGATAATATTTTGCATAAGTACTTTTTTTAATCTGTGCATTTAGTGTTGCTTTGATTGCTGCATATCGGTCAAAATTTAATGTAGAACACCACCTTCCACAGTACATCCTATGGCACCATTTCAAATCATAAATGAGCTTAAATATCGCAATCTTAAAAACGTGTTTATATAGTCTCATTCCCTATTTATTCTGTTAGGTGAAATAAAAGTATAGTTTTTCTGTACAAAAAAACGACATTCAACAGTTCATCAATTTAAAAAAAACGCTTAAATTTACCACATTCTGCTGCGCATCCAATTGTGTCAATAGTACATACGCAATGGTTTGGATCCCACGCTAGATAGGACGGACATATAAACTTCCAACCATTGTTTGTATAACCACGTGGTTCTCCACACATGATAAAATGACAACAATCCCCGGGGAATGGCAATAAACCAGGACCTTCAAGGCATTTGGCTGGAATAAAACCAAGAACCTCCATCATGGTGCTCAAGACAACAGACATTTTTTCAGTTTGATAATGGATGTACCAAATGATCTGAATACTTCTTCGACATAAATATTTATTAGCATTTTTAATATACTCATCACTTATCGTTTTCAATTACACGTGATCCCTTTATAGGAATCAGCATATGGAATGAAGAAGCCTTGAAAGATCCTAAACTTGAGGAATTATAATGAAATAGTGAAAATGACACTAGTCGGTAGTTGCATTATCTGAAATATGAGTTACATGACAAAAAAATCAAGTTTCATCGAATTGAAGGATATGTATCCATATTTTAAAATTTATAACTCACCCATTTCTGCTTCAGATAAATTGTATGGCGTTGCTGAAATATGAGGACGAATGTGTCAGTTATTGCGATAGAGGAAACAGATGTATTGTTTTCAAAATTGATTATATAATCTGAACTCTTAGAAAAAATGCAATACTTGAACGCCGTGTGCTGTTTACTCACGTTTAACTTCCGTAGCCCGAAGAAGAGGTGCAAGACATGCACAGAGTATGGCCACGAACATATCCCTGGTGCTACTGATAGAATCCGATGGACAATGTACAACAATGTATTAGAGGCAACCTACACTTTTTATAAAACGTAAACGCAATTATTTTATCAAATAAACAAACAGTATCAAAGATAATCATAATTGATTCAGTTTACCTTAAGGAAATTTAGAAATAAATCGAGAATTTGTAAATCTCAATCATTTTGGATGTTTTAACACTTATTACATAATACCAATAAACAGTATATACTCATAAAATTATTGTTTACAATCTTACCTTTGTTGTTAACGTTTCCTTATTTTCAAATTAAATTAGCTGTTTTCCTATTTTCCTGAAACTGTTCGGCATACTGTACAACTCTTGCCATTTGTGAGTTGACCTCTGACAAAAACAATTTATTACAGTATTCAAACAAGTTGAAATATGATGACACAAGTTTATAAAGTAATAGTCAATATGGTCAGATTTTTGCTCCATGTTTGTAAAATGTTTAATATTTTGGTGTAATCTATGAATACTTGTTAACTTTCTTTTTAATATAATGATTTGTTTCTTTGTTATAGCAATGTCAGTGGATTTATCCAGAGGGTGATAAACTTTACCCTGGTTCCCTTGAATCATTGAAATTCACTTTGCAGTCTACCTCAGAAATAGCTAATTTAACTATAACTGTACATGTATGATGGACCGAGATGTATGGTTTATCGGTGGCAGAGTTAGTAATTTACAAATGTTCAGAAGAATAATGTATTTACAAATGTTTATTAACAAATGATATTCCATGAACCCATAAGAACCAGTTGAATACCATATTGTTAAAGTGCCACATGTATTCAACGAAAATAGCATGACATGTTTGTTTTATTCTGCAATTGTCAAGCTTTCCATCATCAATACTATTTATTTACTTGTATGTATGTTCATGCGAACCGTGATCAGTTTAAACCTACACTGAACGAAATTTCTTGGGAGTAAACAGTCTATAAGTTCTAGACAGCATAACGAAAAAAACAAAAAAGAAAAAACTATACATAAAATAATGAGCAAACATTTATTTAATTTCAGCTATTTTCAGTTACATAAAAAATAGCCATTTTTAACATTTATTTGTTTTGAATGTTTTGACAACATCGATATTCATCTTATTGTTACCAATGAAGGTTAACAATAGAATTTTTTAACGACTAGACGGCATAAGGACTTCTTTGCTAAAAAATAGAAATCGTTAAGATGGTTGTAGTTGCAATTCTCGTTGCTTCATATTTTGCGTACTTATTTTGGAACAACCAGCAGAAAAACCAACTGCCAAGATAAAACGCAAATAGTCTAAATTAAAGATCTAATAGCAAAGGTTTTGCAAAAATAAATCAATGCAGTGTAAAACAAATGTATGTATAATGAAGAAATAAATATTTAATGAAAAAAATAGATATGTGTTTGTAATATTGGTATTAACTTAAGATTAAAAAGTGTCACTATCTCTTTCATCTTTCAACAAATATAGGCTCACGTGACATATGACGCGGGGCAGTCAATTTTGATCTATCGTAGACCATATCAGTATCAAACTGCCGATATTTCAACCTCGTCTTGCGAGGCCATTTTTATTTGAAACATCTTGAATTTGGTGTCAAAATAAAGCTGGTCACGCCCACTTTCAGAGTTATCAATGAATCATTTACTACGACTACTATATTCATTTAGGAGGCGTGTAAAGTTAACCAATCAGAAAGACAATTGCTCCATATATGACAGTTCATTAACATATTCAGTGTTTACTATTGTTTTTCGCGTCATGACAACACGAGTAGTAACCAATCAAAATGCCGTATTTTATCACGTGAGTTCAGAGTGACATGCACGACATGTAAGTTTAGTCTGAGCTGATCGCGATGTTGAACAATTTCTTCTCGGAATTTGTCCAGAGAAATCAGCGATTCTAAATTAAGGTAGGATCTCCCATTTCTTCCTGTACAAGTTTTAACTTATCTCTATCGAATCCTAAAGTTTTGGATGAAGATATGAAGCATACGTTTAAAAACGAAGCGATTAATTTGACGATCTGATTTTGCAATTTGCAATGGCCAATTTACTGCAAGTCTGCGTGTATTTGACAAGAGATAGCGCCAAGTCTTGTATCCGAATGCTTGTTAAGCCACTCAAAAACAAGATCCATATTTTCTAAATTTGATAACTTTGCAGTGTTTTCCGCGTCTAAATTCAAACTGAGTAGGATTATAGGATCGCTGAGATTCTCAGTCAATGGCAACGGGTCTTCATTCCAGAACGCACATTTTTTAGTTGATTCTCCGTCATAGTACTTGTCTAAAGTCCATATCTGCTCTTTTACTGGCATACTTGGACATATTTCCCCTCCTTAAATTGTCCTCCTTAAATAACACCCTCTCGCCGATTTATATATAGCCAGATTTCCCAGAACCCGGGAGTCAGAATCGCTGATGTTTGCCATATTGAACATGTTGAAATATGTACTGTAATATCTGTAATACTAGGCATTGCCTGCTACGCGTAAGGGTCACGTGACTAGCGCAATACAGGAAAAATGGGGAATTTCGAAACAACAATTTTTGGGCACTTTTATTGCAAATTTCAGGTATTTATAAGTGTTTGTGGTATAAAATATAATCCACAGACATAAATGAACATCCAAACTACATATTTTATTACGTTTTGGAGCCTTTTTTGCTTTTAAAATGACATCTTTAAACGCAATTCACGCGCTCCGCGGTCAAACAAAACACAGATGTACTTCAAAAACCGACCCATATCGAAATGATTTTCATAATTAAATAACTATAAACTTAGTATGTCTTGTGAATGAGTGAAAATAGCCAAAGGTATTACCCTGACATCTTTCATAATATGTTCAAGTTACTTGTTATGAATTCATGAAAACAATTATATTAACTTATTTTTGCTTTTTCTTATGCTTTTATTTCATTTTAACGTTAACGATCTAACATTTTAAAACTGATAGAATTCTATAGTATCAATAAATATAAGAATGCTACAACGTCATTGCAGTTTTCAGAACTGATCGAGAGACTTGGGTGACAAAACATTGATAGTATCTATCTCTTCAATTACTTCAGATTTAGTGTCCATGAATTCTAGAATATATCTGATGTACTGTGGCATTGCACATACTGCAACAGCTGTCCTGTGTGATAGACACCCTCCCTCCAAAACTTTTTCCTCACGTTTGGACCTATGGGGAGCATGTGTTCTTTCGAAATCTGAAATATACATAGTTATACTTACTAGCTAAGTTCAACTGTGTACGAGTATATTTTCAAAAATGTTGAATGTAAAATGTAAGTTACGCAGGGCTAGTAGAAAAAATTTAGAAAATGCAGAATTTTTGCAGAATTTCACACTTTGGCTTGTAGAAATTTGTAGTGCAGAATTCTAGATATCAACTTTTTTGTAAATGAATTAATTTTTCTAAATACGCAGCTTCAAAGTTGAGTATAACTCTCGAGGAAACTACATAGCACTAACACTGGACTTTGAAATTGACCATCATCTATCTTACCCAATTCCTCAGGAAGAATTTGACCAAAACAACCGTTTGGATATTGCCATGTGAGAATATTGCTGAGCCAATCCAGATTGACGAACTGCCTATAGCCCATCATGCCGCACAACCCAGCTATATATTGAAATATAAATGAAATGAAATAACCATATAATTTTCTCATTAATTAACTAAGTTACAACAGTCTGTCAATAGTAATGTAAATATCAAAGGGCAAAATAATCCTCAATTAGTGTTACCTTGTTCCATGAATAAGTCTCTCCAAGTAGGAGGGTAGTTTGAGCCAGCAATTTGGTTTGCTTCTTTGAGCATGTTTGCGCAAAACCCCTGAACAAGATTGTCCAGGGAATGCTGTCTGTTAATTTTGCGCATATGATGCATTTCCTTGGCACACCCAAACTGGAACACAAACGTAAATCAAAATTAATTACTCCAGAATAGGAACATCGTATTAGAAGTGCTTTGAACATTTAACTGAATAATTCATCCTAATTCTTTGAATGATAAGCCTGACAATTACTGAATTGTCTACAATTGATTAGAGGAAACTCGAGTGTAATCATTAGGTATTAAATCTTGTATTATTATTGGAAATAGACAGGGATAATAGGCTTTTACTGCTAAGCATTAATTATTGACCAAGGATTGTCCAGCATAATATTTCCCTCGGGATATATGTCAATCTAATTGTCTTCTCTTTATCTCCTTATTCATTATTTAAGATATCATTTAGGATTATTTAATTAGTCCAGAATCCAGATCAATGTAGAATGGTCGCTTTAAATTATTTCAAATAAGCTCATCGCTCGGTTACGTTGTCACATATGACCTTACATTGTGGAATCCTTGCATTTAGAAGTATAAAGTACCTGTTTGCCAATTTGAAGATAGAAAACCTGATGAGAGAGGGAATACTGGTTATATCCCGGTGCAGTCATCAACAACCAACACCGCTCCGAGATCTGGCACGGTATATCAGACATACCACTAGAGCGAAATTGTTACATTTAGTTCATTTTACAAGTAATTATGAAGTATAGACCATTTAAATAAGTGATTGTTACACACGCATCATTTAAATGAGTATTTGTCACTGTTCCAAAACTAGTTACTTTGACGGAACGTCAATGTAAGAAAATGGATGAACTTCCTGGATACGAGTTTTTTTGTATTCTCGATTTAAACTTACGTATAAGTCATGTTGAGGGTTATCATTTGGCACAAAGTTAAACAATATAGTCTAGCTTTTAGATATCCCCTCGGTTTGGAATTTGATTTTGAAATAAAGCTGTAATTCATGCATTTAGACCATCGCTTTTGTTACATTCGACGTAAGTTGTCAAAGTAACATACATTTGTAATACATGTATAATGGACTTTCGTCAATGTAACAAAAGCGAGGGGCTAAATATATGAATTGCAACTTCATTTACAAAACAAATTCCAAATCGAAGCTTATTCTATATTTTCTAGCTATGTGCTAAATTATAATCTGCAACTTGACTTATAAGTAGGTTTAAATCGAGAAAACAAAAAACTCGTAACCAGGAAGTTCATCGATTTTGTTACATTGACGTTCCGTCAAAGTAACTAGTTGTGGCACAGTGATTTGTTTCACATTGGAGATTTAAATGAGTAATTGATAAACATAATTACATGCGTCATTTAACTACGGTGTATGTTCACGTAACACATATAGATAACTTAAAAATGTACTCTTAACCGAGTAGCTGTTACAAATGTGTCATTGAACTGAATAATTGCTACATTTATGCCATTTATCTGAGTAAATGAGTACGAGATGGCGCCCCACTAACAAACATACAAAACGAAATGATACATGTATTTACCCTGTTGCAAATAATTCTGCGAGGCAATTATCGGAGTCATTTTCTCGCATAACTTCCCCAGCAACAAGTCTAGGTAGAACAAGGTTCTCATCTAAGTCTCTGCTCGTGTAGTCCATCTCCCAGAATCCTTGGTCTAGTATCACACCAATTTCTATGAAACGAAAATGAATAATCTCGATAAGCCCGGACATTTCTAATTGACATTGGTCACAGAAAGAAATCATTTAACATTTTACTTTACTTGCACACTCTTAAAAAATATTACTTGGATTTCCTTATATTGAGAACTTGTACTACTCATTTTAAGTAAAAAATTACTTAAATAATCTTGAACTACTGAATAATTTTTAAGTAATTCAAAGTAATTACAAGTAATTATAAGTAATTTAAAACAATGATATATATATTAATTTAAAAAAATTAAAATGACTTCACAGGCACTCTGAATTTATGGTGAATTTACTAATGCAAGGAGAGAAATTGAAATACTTACTGTAGTAATGGTAATACTCATTTACATAATTAAGCAATTAAAAAACTCAAAATGACAATATAAGTAAAACCTAAGTAAAATGAAGTAAAACTTAGTATTTAACTTTAAGTAATTTTTATACTTGGGAAATACTCAAGTAATTCATTTTTAAGAGTGCACTATTATAAATGTAGGTCAATTAGCTCTTTATCTTAAAATGGTAACTAATTCTAATAATTTTAGCCTTAGAAGACCCTTACTCACTTGCATAATATTCAGGTTCGTTTTTCGCAATAAAGGGCGTGGCTAGATCACTCACACGAGCTGCCTGCTGTTGTAGACTAACCAATTTAGCAAAAAGTTCATCCGACACGCGAGGTCCATCATCTGACAAAAGTTGTCGTAAAAGTACAGTCAACGAACCTGCAATTATTTGATTAAAAATATAAGACTTGATGATGTGTTGATGTTTTGTCTTTTACACGGGAATATTTATAAATTAGCAAAATTATTTCATAATAAAATGACTATTGTCTTCCACCAATAAGATTTATATATTGACCTTGCTTTTTATTACCACCGGTGCAAGTTTAAGGCTCATCTTTTGACTTTGAGTCTACCTTCCACCAATAAGCTCTATCCATTGACCTTGCTTTTTGCTACCTCCATGTACCGTGCAAGTCTAAGCCTTATCTTTTGGCTTTTATTCTACCTACCACCAATAAGCTTCAACTATTGGCATTGCTTTTTACCACCACCAATGCAAGTTTAAATTCTCGTCTATTGACTTTGATTCTGTCTTTCAATAATAAGTTCCATCTATTGGTATTGCTCTTTCCCACCACCTGTGAAATATAGCATTAGGTGAGGAGCTATTAAGAATTACAAAACCAGCTAAATATTCTTTTTCAACTTTGTATCTTATTTAATCCTTCTGAAAATCTCTTCTTTTATTCTAAGTTGACAAGCCTTGAAAATATTTTTGCACAGAAAGTAATGATCACTTGTCTAGAAGTGATTTTGTGCTACTTTCCTATACTGTTATGGGTAAGGTTATAGAAGTTGAGAGTTGATGACATCACTTCCTGCAAGAAATCTTAAAAGATGGCAGCTCACAGGAAATAAGCACTAGATTTTTAAATGATCAATATTGACCATATTAAATATTTAATATATTTAATATTGACCATATTAAAACATTTCCCCATGTTTTGCTAAATATGGAAACTATATATATATGATTATAGCTACCATATCAAGAGAGAAAGGGTCTGGCAAGGAATATTCCTTTAAGCTTCGTATATTAAATTTGATTCTGTCTTCCACTAATAAGCTTTATCTATTAGCATTGCTTTTTCCACCACCAGTGCAAGTTTAAGCCTCGTATATTAAATTTGATTCTGTCTTCCACTAATAAGCTTTATCTATTAGCATTGCTTTTTCAACCACCAGTGCAAGTTTAAGCCTCGTATATTAAATTTGATTCTGTCTTCCACTAATAAGCTTTATCTATTAGCATTGCTTTTTCCACCACCAGTGCAAGTTTAAGCCTCGTATATTAAATTTGATTCTGTCTTCCACTAATAAGCTTTATCTATTAGCATTGCTTTTTCAACCACCAGTGCAAGTTTAAGCCTCGTATATTAAATTTGATTCTGTCTTCCATCAATAAGCTTTATATATTGACCTTGTTTCCAGCTGTCACAATATAGACCCTGCTTCACTCTGTGATCACCAATGCCAAAGTAGGTTTCCTTGAACTAGATATCGTTTAGAAGCTTGAACCATTTGGCGTCTGCGATATTCTCTGATCGTATATCCCATCGTACAAAAGTACACAATCCTCGCTATGTGAGGACATAAAAATGATGTTTTATTCTTGTCATTTATTAAATTTGCGTCAAGAATAATGGCATTGTTAAAGTTTTATTTAATGCCATTTTATTCCCATATTTCTTATCACGTACTTGCTAACACAAGATGTACATGTACAATGCACACAGGAAAATCAAGTTATTTGTTAAAATACATTACTGGCTTATGGATATATTTTAAAAAACGTCCATGTATAATATTTTTTTATTATTTAATTTTTTATTCCAGAGATGAAAAAACATGTTAATTGCATAGTGGACTATAGGTGTGACGTCCAAAGATTGTTATATTGCGTTTTATTTATTAAACATCGTGCTAAATGAAATAGCTGAACCCAATAGATGTGACCAGAGTCATTTTATCAATATCACCGATTGACGCAGATGTGAACGTGGAGGTTGAGTAGAGTTTATTAGGATTGATAGCCCACTTACTTCAGAAAGGTAAAAACAGGATGCACGTTTTTGCTCTTATGTTGTGACCACATCTCCATAAAATCAAAGTGATATTGAAAGAGTGAAGTTGATTCTTATCGAAAGCTTAATGGCGACAAAATTAATAAACACTGAGTTCTTTATGTCGAGAAATTCCAAACTATTTTGTTGAGAAGCTTTGATATAACACTGAAAGCTAATCAGAAAATGAAAAAAAAAGTATTTCATTATATCAGGATTCAGGCGAAAACTAATCTGGAAACCCCTGAAATAAGATATTAAAATGATATATTAGGCTGTCGCAATAAGTATAAATTCATTGCCTTTAAGCTGTGTGATCAGTCACAGAAACTGCTAATTAAAACGTATTTATAAATAAAGCTTGCCACAATGAACTCTGCGAATGATCAAGTTACCTAACAAATCAAAAAATAAGTCGGATATAGATATGAATATAGATACAGTGTTATGATATCAAGAACAATGTTACTTATGAGTAGCGGTATAAAACAGTAATTAACGTGTGGAAAAAAGTCTTGAAGGAATAATGTATTTCAGTGTATGAAAACGAAGCTTTTGTAATTTGTATATTTTGTCTTTTGCATTTGGATTTTTATCCAAAAATTCCAAAGTAACTCACATTTGTCAACTTTGGCCCAATATTACTTGAAAAGTACTCAGAATGGTGAAAATAGCATGATTTGGAAAGAATTTTTAGCCAGAAGGGAGTTGTCGGACTATTCTAAAAAAAGAACAACAATAGGAATACAAAAGAAAGGGAATATTGGTAAAAGAAACAGTACACACTTCTTGTAATTACGAAATCATTAAACATTTGAGTTACCTATCATTAAGATGAAATTTTTAAAATGTCTAGATAATTTGTTTTATAGTTTAGGATATTTTAAGTACTTATAATAACTGCATCAGAATTATTGCCTATTTTGTTTGGGACTATTCTAAAATTTGTATCATTGTTGTTTCTTGTCGCATTTTCTGCCAAACCCATATACACTGGCATGTAGCGATTATAGCGGTCCTGTCTTGGCTTATTGAATTGTTACGAAGTTACGTATGCGGTGCGGAAGTTAGAGAGCAAATGACCATCATTTCAATGTAATAGTTTATGCAGGAAAATTGAGATTAGGCCATTGGAGTATTTGTTTCATGCATTTGTAAAACATTACCCACTCATAGGTCATACTTATCATTAAACCAATAACTCAAATATATGCCCTTGTACACCGACCACCTCTTGAAATTAATGCAGGCCGATTTCAACGAATGCAAACGGTGTTATATAAAAGAAACATATTCAAGCATGACCACGTCCCAACTTCTTTTGTTTTCTTTACAACTAAGCTATGACTGCAGTCTATTCAGTGTTGCGTATCGAACCTTGTTTATTATAAAAATAGTGCAACAACAAGCAGAATTCACACATTTACCTTATACTTATTCTCAACTGAAGACATTGAATTTATCTCTTAGGTTTTACATTATAAATATCTTAACATGCAGAATACGAAAATAGAGGCTTAGGCCCAACTTTGTATGAATTTTATGAGAATAATCTGATTTTAGAGAAATGAAAAGAAAAATGTCCACACACTACACAAAATATTTATGGTTCCCCGGGAATACGTATGTGCTGCTTGTATATTAGAATCGTATTCCAGTTACAGAAAGAAGTACATATCATGCTAAACTATATACAACAGTTATGCACTTGGAGGTTTTGGATACAGGGAATATCCCGAGGGATATATAATATGTCTTCCCTTGGTCCCTTCGGTCCCTCGGGAAGATATATTGTATATCCCTCGGGATATTCCCTGTATCCAAAACCTCCAATTGCATAACCCCTATATATTGGCCAAGGGATAATCCCAATATCCTGACTATAGGATAATATGTTTATCCCATACCAATCTTGGTCATCTGGTTCACATTGTTAAATCGTGGAAATATTTTAGAATATTCATGTCCAGTTTTTTTTTCTTGGCCGTGGGCGGATTTTCATGTTCTCTCAAATAATCCCATATTTATTTTCTCGAATTTTTTATTGATAAAGTGGATGCCCTTTCCCTTTTTTTAACTATCAAACAGACCCTGATTGTCTGTGTTTTCTCCATTGCCGTTTACAGTCATTCCGCGAACGTTACAAATTATGAACAAATATGCAAGCGGCGATTATGACGTAGCGGGCAGATATACTACATCTGCCCGCTTGGAGCGGGGCGTAAAGCTTTATCCCATGGTTGCAAGGAGGATATAGATCGAATATCACATGATGATATATTTGATATGTGGATCAAGATATCATATTTTATCAAACAATTTACCATGGCATACGGCGCCGCATGTCATGGCTAAAACACCGTATGCTATGGTTAAGTGAAAATTTGCCAAAAATATCATATTTTACCACTGATTTCAAAAATACCGTTTTTATTTTGACATGTTATCCTATGGATATCATGCTAACTATGGAATAATATAGGAATATCCTATGGCTTTGAAAAAATATCACTTATATCCATGAGTTGATATTGATATCTTTGCGAGTGAGCGCAGCGAGTGAGTGGAGATACTGATATCCATGAGTGGATATAAGTGATATTTTTGAAAAACCATAGGATTGTCCGTTTATCCCATGGGGAATTATTATCCAGAGAACATTGAATAGTCAGATAAATTTCAACAAGATTTATTTATTTCAACATTTTGATTGCAATAATTCAACAAACGTCATAAACATGACGTAACAGGGTGGTTTGTATTTAATGCAAACGCCGTAAAAACTAGATCCAAATAAATAAAAAACATATAAAGAATCGTTTTGCTGAATTAATAATAAAAGATTGAAAAAATCAAAACCATCGAATATCACTTTTGAAACCATCGAATATCACTTTTAGAACCATCGAATATCACCTTTCAAAAAGTGATATTCGATGGTTTCAAAAGTGATATTCGATGGTTTGGGAATTGTTTGCTAAAATATGATATCTTCATCCACGTATCAATTATATCTTCACGTGATATTCGATCTATATCCTTTTAACCATGGGATAATATAGGAATATCCTATGGCTCTGAAATATCACTTATATCCATGAGTGGATATTGATATCTTCGCGAGTGAGCGCAGCGAATGAGTGAAGATACTGATATCCATGAGTGGATATAAGTGATATTTTTGAAAAACTATAGGATTGTCCGTTTATCCCATTGGGAATTATTATCCAGCGAACATTGAATAGTCAGATAAATTGTAATGGAAATTCCATTTCGTCTGACATTTTGATTGCGATAATTCAACGAACGTCATATACGTGACGTAACAGAGTGGTTTGTATTTAATGCGAACGCCGTAAAAACAGGATCCCAAAAAATAAAAATATATAATAAATATATAATTCAATTCAATTCAATTCAATTTATTTCATAATTCTTATATAATATACACTATAAAAACAAGCCGCTAGACACCCTAGTGGGTATATGTTGCGGTCTAACAGAAATAATTAAAATGACATCTAGACTACATATAAAAGAAAACACTTATATTATGTTACATGTAGGTATATAAAAATGGTAATAACAATTAATCTAAGGATGTACAATGTAAAAATGTTACAAAAATCAGGTATCAGTATAAAATCAACAGTATAGTATGATATTGGTATTATACATTATCGATAGATGAGTAGTTTTTTATATGAAGATTTTAAAATATTTAGAGTGGAGCATTTTTTAATATCATGTGGTAGAGCATTCCAAAGATTAGGACCTAGATAGCGAAGGGAAAGTTTAGAGCATTTAGGGATATGAAAATAATGCAATTGTCTTGTGTAATGATGATGAATATTAATGTTGATATCAAACAAGTCTTGAAATAGACTTTTTGGAAGACTGGGGTGCTTATTAAAGATTTTGTACATGAAATGACCAGTACAATATCTGTTGACATCAAAAATATTTAATATGTTAAGATCTTCAAATAAGGGAGCGGAGTGAGAAGGTCTATCCTTATTTAAAGCTAGCCTTAAGAATTGTTTCTGCAGTTTATGTAGACGATCATAAAATGATTTAAGTGTGTTACCCCAGATTATGTTGCAATAATTTAATTGAGAGTGTATCAATGAGTAGTAAATTGTTTTGAAACTGTCTATTTGAAGTAGATGTTTAATGTGATAAAGAGAACCAATGACGCGAGAAATCTTTGTTTCAATAGATTTTATGTGCTCTTTAAATTTCAAGTTTTTATCAATAATAATTCCAAGAAAGTCAATTTTATCCCGGAAATTTATGTTATCATTGCGTATTTTGAGATTCAGATTTGTTTGATTTTTTTGGGGTCCAAATAGAATAGCATTGGTTTTGCCAATATTAAGTGAAAGTTTGTTTGCTTTTATCCAGTCATCTATTGAATTCAAGTTTGCATTAGTTCTAGTCATAAGTTCATTTAAATCATAATCACTATCAAGAAGATTGGTGTCATCAGCAAACATAAAAAATTTTAGATTAGGGTCAACAAAAGGCAGATCATTTATGTAAAGAATAAATAATAGTGGTCCAAGTACCGAGCCCTGCGGAACACCAAAATTTAGAGATGATTGTTTAGATTCATAATTGTTAATGGTGACATATTGTTTGCAGTCTTTTAAATTACTTACAAACCAGGACTTAGCTATTCCTCTGATGCCATAATATTCAAGTTTTTGTATCAAAATGTCATGATTAATAGTGTCAAAGGCCTTGGAAAAATCTAATGTTATGCCAATGCTCGTTTTCCCCAAATCAGTTGATTTTCGAATTTGTTCAATGAAATTTAAAATGGCCATGTAGGTAGAGTTGAATTTCTGAAATCCAAATTGATAAGTAAAAATAATTTCAAAACGTTCTAAAAAACCAGTGAGTTTGGCGTGCATTAGCTTTTCTAACAATTTAGAAAATACCGATAAAACTGAAATTGGTCTATAGTTCGAAGGATTTGTAGTGACTCCTTTTTTAAATACAGGTGTTACTTTGGCCAATTTGAGGGCGTCTGGGAAAATACCAGATTTAAAAGATAAGTTAAATATATACAAGAGCGGATCAATTAAAAACTGTCTTACAGACTTAATAAGTGATGGTAGAATCCCATCAGGTCCAGGCGAGGAAGATTTTAGAAGACATATTTCTAATTCAAGCTCAGTTTTTGAGGTCTTTTTGAGATAAATAGATGATTGAACTTTTTGAGCTCTTGCTAGGTATTCATAAACAATCGTTTTGCTGAATTAATAAAAAAAATTGAAAAAATCAAAACCATCGAATATCACTTTTGAAACCATCGAATATCAATTTGAAACCATCGAATATCACCTTTCAAAAAGTGATATTCGATGGTTTCAAAAGTGATATTCGATGATTTGGGAATTGTTTGCTAAAATATGATATCTTCATCCACGTATCAATTATATCTTCACGTGATATTCGATCTATATCCTTGTAACCATGGGATAAATACGGGTTATGTACTGGGAGGTTTTGGATGCGGGGTTTTTCCAGAGGGAGATATGCATATCTACCTGAGGGACCGTAGGGACAGAAAGTAGATGTGCATATCTCACGAGGGATGAACCCAATATTCAAACCGACCGTACATAACTGCTTTATCCTATACCAAGTAGAGTTTTCAGTAGCACAAGGTGTAAAAAATAAACAAATCATTCATATGCAAAGTCATTTTATTGCATTTTCACTTTTTGGAAGCGGGAAGATACGACCCGAAGCGGGAAGATATGCACCGAAGCGGGAGATATGACGGGAGATATGGAGGTTCTTGATATGGAAACCTCAAAATCAGGATACGGGATATATCTTACCAACTTATCTCCCTAAAACCCTACTTGGCATAGGATAAATCAAGATAATTTCTACTCGCATCTAGTCTATTCCACATGTTTGGGAAAAGTGTACAGGAAAATCTCCATGTTCAATTGATGTATGATCAACCCTCATAGGGGTCAATCCAGTTGTCCGAAACTCAATTCTCCGAAACCCAGTTGTCTGAAACCAAGTTCTCCGAAAATTAGGGGATCTTATCAAAAAATACAATTTCTTAAAACGAATCTTGTCGCAACCTCTGCGAATCACGACAGCATAACATTTGAATCACGTTGACATCATTGCAAAATTAGGCTAAATATGCTGAGTCAAGACGTTAATTAGCCCACGAAAGTTCATGGGTAACTTGAGAACTACAAAATACAACCAAATACTTTTCGAACGTACAATAGCAATATTTCTCACCCAACGTCTTCATAGTTTTAGGAACGTATTTTAAACGCATGATAGCCAAATATATCAAGATACTATATCTGCCTAAATGAAGTTATCTAGTGTTGACGAAGTTTTGAAATATATTTTATCCAGATCCATCAGAAATTAACTTATCCAATACATTTGTTCATAAGAATTCTTTAATTCTACCTCGTTCCCAATACGTCCTCAGACAGACAAGAAATTGAAGTCACACCCGTTTGTTTGCGTGGCATATTTATACGTATACGCACTTTCTCTGATTATTGTCAAACAAATACATTTCAGGAGAAGAACATAAAAAACAAATGCCTGAAACGAATGCCGAAACATAAATCCCAAGTGATTAAGTTTAGAATGTTTTATTCTTTTACGATTTGATAAGAGACTGAGACTAAGAAATTAAATGCGACGAAATATTTTGACAACGTAATTTGTATACTGTTTTATTCTTAAAGTTCTATACCTTATTTTATCTGTTTCAAAATGTTAAATTTTATTTTGCCTATATAAAAGAGATTGAAGAAGATAAGATAAACTGTTCCGTAATATATATTGTGTTTTAACATGTTTAATAACCTTTTTTAGAATCACAATGTAAAATAAATCTCCCGTTCCTGCCATTCTGGTAACGCCATGCAATGGATGCAATTCAAAGTGAGAGAGAGATCTATGAATATCAGAATGCGTCCATGCCATTAATTTGGCCAAATACATGGCATGAAACTGACGTAAGCTTAAGTAAGCTACGCCCCCCCCCTTTCTCTGGTAAATTATGACTTTATTTTTCGGAGTAATGGGTTCGGACAACTGGGTTTCGGGGAATTGGGTTTCGGACAACTGGGTTTCGGACAACTGGGTTTCGGACAACTGGGGTGTCAATATATACGAATCGAATGTATTCTCGTGTGCATTACAATATCCCCATTGAAACATTTTTGGCCTGCAATGAACGTATAATGAATTAGAATATGAGGCCGTGTTATCATTCTAATGTAAAATCATGGTATTTACTGTAGTATTGGGTTGCAAGTTAATATCAGATTCAATGCAAATTAATCATCTAATATCAGATGCGCGATCAGTCCAATAATCTAATTTCAGGTCATCAGTTCGATATCTAGCACTTGTTCTAACGACACGGTATTACTAGACTATCATATTATAAATACACACACATATAAAACAATCAAACTGGTACACGATATATGCACGACCGCTCTTTCAATTGAGTATAAATGTTGATAAACTTACCCGGAAGCCAAGACATACACGTTTAGACGATGCTATTTTCAGTTCAGTGTAAGAGTAAATGCCCGGATATCGAGGCTTTTTCGTGTAAAGTTTTAACCAAGCATCTAAAATCGGGTTATATTGCGTGTAGAATTTATCGATATCAGGGCCGCTACATGCCAGTGCATATAAGGATATAAAACTGAACCGAACGTGGGTTATATTTTCTGTCAAAATTGCATTATCGATCTGACCAATTCACCATTGTGATAACTAACACAGCGTCTTTAAGAATGCAGGAATTCTACATGTAAAATAGACTTCTGCCTGATGTAAACATCATGAAACATCTTCATGAAATCATGAAACAATTCGAACTAGTTATATATATATATGTGTTTAATAGATGGGTGATTAATTAAATTTAATACTTGCCATCAGCAATCCTAGTTCCAATGACTGCATCGAGGTTTATTTCTTTATGCATGCCTTCCAAATAGGACAGAGCAGACGACAATGACGTCATGACCTTATTTAGGTTGTTTTGGGCAATTCGCAAATCCCCAGACGCCTCACCATCTACGTTAGTAGCTATAGTAATGCATGTAGCTGTTAGTATCCATAGACATAGTTTTGTCACCATCGCAGATCTGGAAAGTATGTGTATACAGGTAAGTTCTCCGTTCAACTGTGTGTGTGCACTGGAGTAGTGTCAGCTATATTAAAGTGTCGCAATCATATAAGCTACATTCGTCATCTTGAAGTAAAGAACTTCACATTTGATGACTGAACACAACTAACGAACTAACGACGTCGGCCTACTAATAACGTCGATATGAGACCTATTAAACTCGTGTTACAGATAGTTTAAAACATGACGCTGATAATGTATCAAACTTGCGATCGTTCTAACTAGTACTCCTTTTCAACTCTGCTATTCAAATCGAAGCACATCAATACAATTAATCGCCTCTCTTGACGTCCTATCAATGAAACCTGCTTCCGTTTTACTTAGAAGAGATGGGGTTGCATTACAATACTTCTTTATTAAATGCATAGTCGCTAATATTTTGCTATCGTGCTAAGCGAACCGTCTCATAAAACACAATTGTTATCTAATTAACTTTAACTAAAATGATAAAGATTACCATTTCATTCCTAGTTATTAATGAGTCTGCTATTTGATACATATTGACTTTTAGAAAAGGTTTAGATACGTATTATTTTTTCTCTGACACAAAACGCCTTAGGGTATATTTCATATCCTTGATTCTGTTAGCCTTTCTGTGCTTTGATAAATAATATGAAACTGATATGTTGGATTGATTCATAAACCAAATAAATGAAATTGCTTACATTCTTGCGTATCCCACGCCATTTTTCGATGATGTCATGAAGATTTGTTGAATGGAAATGATAACTGCATGTCAAGTTCTGATGTTGTTCAAAGCAAACAATAATACGTTATCTAATATCGCCGTGTTATTATTTGAATTAGAGTTTGCGATCTCAATCAGGATTATTGGAAATTATAGGAAAAAGACTGTCTACCTTGTGTTTGATCAATGAGTGTGATTCGCTGTCGCGTCTGGCAAAAGACAAAACTTGTTCTGTTCATACTGAACTTTGTAAAAAGGAAGCGCAATGGGTTCATATGGCCTCTGTTAGATATTAGGTATGTTTTCGCAAACACAACATATCCAAACCCTCGTGTTTAAAAACGTCTCCAACTATTGTTAAAAATGTGGCAAAATGTGGCACAGATGATTTCAAAAATGGGCCCAATATTCAAAGCTAGGGTGCAATCTTAAAAGAATAGAAAAGGTGCGCAACAATATTTCTTGTACTGGTTCGTTTTCATTGCCATGAAGATGAGCTTTGAACGAACTATCTATTGAAATCTACTTTAATAACCCAGATGCGAGTAGAAATAATCTTGATTTACGTCATTAACAATTCCAAATTCAGTCAAAGTAATATCATATTTGAAATCTACATGTAAAATTACATCTAGAAATGTGGTTTTAAAAAGTGTTTATCAACTTTGAAAAATTAATTTTCTTTGAAAATGTGACTTCTAGCTCGGGGAGATTCCCCATAGACCCCATGCTATAAAATCACAAAAAATGAAATATCTTTTCTTTTAGGGGACAGATATTATTTTGCTTCACTGGACATATTTTCATTAGTATAAGTATCAGACACATACGGGTTATATGAAAATTGAGCCACTTAAATTGATAATATTCAAGTTTAAGGGAACTTTATTATATACCTACCATGTTAATTGACCCGAATCAGCCACCTGGTGGTGAAACTGGTAACTACCTACTCGCATTTGGGTAATTCTCCATATACCTTTAACTCCGATGGCGTAGCAGGTAGGCAATCTTCAAGTTCACCTTGGAGAATGCAGTTGGAGAATAAAACAAAAGCTTCCGGCGATCTCTATAATCCTGATATACGATGGCCATATTTTGCAGCTCGTATTTTACAATCATTTTTCATGGGACTTAATCCTTACGTATTGCTTCTATTGATCTCCAGTAATTCAGGCTTATGTTGAGAACAGTATTTCACAATGCTGACAGCCCAAGATTTATTAGGTACATCCTGAGGTCAGTTCTGTTTATAAACATGCTCCTGATATGACTGGATCTAAATATGTAAATCAGCTTTCCTGTAATCAATTATAGCCAGGTGCATGACGAAGGTCCAACGTTTGTCTGTTCTTGCATTATCCTGACAATGACATCATTTCTATCTTTAGAACTCTATGTAATAAGTGACCAATCAGAGTCAATGATGAGATGCGTTTTGTTAACGTTTCAAATGGTATATAAGTTGTGAATGAATGTAAGATCAGGGTGAAGAAAATGATAGTGGAAAGATGGTGGGAAGATAGTGGAAAAGAATCTGAAAACTTACAATCGTCATGATGTCGGAAAATAAGTCAAGGAGCCGAGGAAAGGAAATGGAGAAAACTAGGTAAACGAGGATGCCAAATTTAACATTGGTCTGACAGAGTAAACGAAAGTGAAATGGTTTAACGTACATATTATTGTTCACATGTTCACAGTTGATTAAAGGTTACACATTAATAAAGTAATTGTATTATGTAACTTATATTCGTTATTCATATTTGCGAGTACGGTAAGACTAGACGATCTAAATATCTCTCACAGCCAAGCATTTTCATGTCACAGCCAAGCATTTTCATCTCACAGCCAAGCATTTTCATGTCACAGCCAAGCATTTTCATGTCACAGCCAAGCATTTCGTATTATACAGCCAAACAATTCAAACATTAAATTAATCATTAATAGGTGGCAAAAACCACGTATAACACTTGGTGCAGCTGCCTTGTTTTCTAGTCTTATCAAGAAAGCAATTTGAATAGAAAATAATAAGTGAACAAAACAAGTCAAAACAAAAGAAATCAAATAAAACCATGGCTCAAGTAAAACAAAATCGAGGAGAAAATCAAATGGAACAGGAGCGACAAAATGGAGAGATTCAACAACCGAAATCGCCAGAACAAGCAGACATTCCCACAGATGACATACATCGACATGTCAAAAGAGTGGAGAACATTGCTGATGGTCGTCTACAATCCGGGAACAAGGGCCAGCTCATAAAACCACCTGTCTTCAACAACGCAAGTTCAGTAAGTAACCCAACATCTTGGATAGATAAATATGATATATATGCACAATTTTCAAAGTGGCAAGATTCGGAAAAATGTACATTCCTCAAAATATTTCTTGGTTCTAACGCAGAGGTATGGTATGATGATTTACCAGTTGATATCAGTAGCAATTGGAAATCGTTGAAATCAGCATTTATTGACAAATTTGCCAATCAAACACCTCGTTGGGCTAGAGAGGAAGCTCTTTTAGACCGTTTTCAACAGGTTAATGAAAACGTTGAAGATTACATTAATGACATAAACATGCAATGCTCAAAATTAGAAATTACGCCAAATGAAAAGTTGAGAATTTTTGTCAGGGGATTAAAATCAAATATCAAAAAGTTTGTTGTTGCCAGAAATCCAAACAGTATGCAATTAGCTGAACAGTACGCAATATTAGGAGAATTAGTAGATAATATCAAACCAGTTACACAAAAATTATCAAGTGAAAATGCAATGGTTAATGAATCTAAACTGCTTGAAATAATTCAACAACAACAATCAGTGCTGACATCGCTCTCAACTGAGGTTAGCATTTTAAAACAAAATATCAACAAACCTGAATCAAGAATTGCATACACATCTAACGATGACCAGTTGTCAGGTTTTGCTGTGTATTGCCAATGTAACAGAGGTTGCCATTCTAGTCCTGCTGGTATATATCCAAAAGTTTCAATGTCAACTAATGCAAAAGATGTATTTTACAATGATCAGAGTCACAGTGCTTTAAGTTGTAATTCAACTTCAAAAGTTCAAACTAGGTCTGCAGGAAGAAACAGCTGGCAAGAAGGTCATAATCATTCCTCAAATCATCACAACATTCAAAACCAGGGATCAAAAGGTCACTTTAAATACAGACGAGGTCATGTCTCAAATGGTGTATACAGTAGGTTGGCACTGGCAGGACAGCATAAGAATCAAAACATACAAACACAAAATAAACAAAGAATGAGGAAATCAAATTCAGTCAAGAAGCCGATTCAAATTTCCACATGCGCTCCTATTTTGACCAGCCAAATTTTCAGAGATAATCTCATCAATGTGTCTTTTGCTGGACATGATTTTAGGGCTTTGGTAGACACTGGTGCTCAAATATGTGCAATAAATTACAATGTGTTGAAACGATTTCCTGAACTTGTGACTCAAATTCAAAACTCAAGTGTAAAGAAATGCGTGACCGCAAATGGCGATTCCTTACAAATAATTGGAGAAATATACACAACAATTGATATTGCGGATAGGACAGCTCAAATAAAATTGCAAGTCATAGATAACTTAGATCACGATATCATTATCGGGGTCGACTTTTTGTCAGCTTATGAAGTTACAATTGATTTCAAATCCAAAAAGATACAATGCCCAATACCAGAACAATCAACTCTGTTTGCCGATAGAGATATAGTTATTCCTCCAAAGTCCGAAGTTGCGTGTTTAGTGAAAACCCGAGACAAATTTCCGAATGGTGTCATAGGAGAGTGCAGTAGAATTAATTTGAAATTACCGGTAGTAGTTGCTTCATCAGTGTCTTGTTTACAAAATGACCGCGTCCCAATAAAAATCATGAATATTACAGAAAATGAAAAAATTATTTACAAGTCTACTAAACTGGGCAAATTCACATGTTTGACTAGTGATACGGAACTGGTTAGTCTATCAGCAGGCCAAAACAAGCAGATAAATAATTCTAAACAAGAAAGAGACCACATGTCAAACAGATGTTCTAAGAACACAAGATCATACCAGAAGGGCAAAACGACTCAAAGTGAACCTGTTTACCGGACATTAAACAATGACGGTAACAACAGTTCAAGTAACTCAAAATGGCTGAAAAGTAAAATGAATCATACCGAAAATCAAAATACAAAATACTTCACTCATACACAAGGTAAATACACTAACTGTAGTACAAGTAACTCAACATGGCGCTGTGGTCAAATGAACAATATTAATACAACAACA